TGTGGTAGGTACTAAGGCTTCCCTGGTGGCTCAGCAGTAAAGAATCTACCTCTAATGCACAAGACGCAAATGAGGGTTCGATCCCTGAGTTGGGATGATCCCCTGGAGGAGAGCATGGTAACCCACTCCACTACTCTTGCCTGGAGAATCCCATGGACAGAGGAGTTTGGCAGGCTACAGTCCCTTGGGTCACAGAGTCAGACATGACTGAGGCAACTGAGCATGCATGCCCAGTAGGTACTGTTGAAGTGAAGTTAAGTGAAGTCGCTCAGTCGTGTTTGACTCTTTGTGACCCCATGGACTGTAGCCTACCAGGAGCCTCAGTCCATGGGATTCTCCAGGCAGGAATACTGGAGTCGGTTGCAATTTCCTTCTCCAGGGGATCTTCCCGACCCAGGGATCGAACCCGGGTCTCCTGCTTTGCAGGCAGACGCTTTACCGTCTGAGCTACCAGGGAAGCCCCAGATACTATTATTATCTCCATTTTATATCTGAGGAGACATGAATAGCAAGGTTAAGTAACTTGCCCAAGATTTTTTTTTTTTTGGCAGCGCCACATGGCTTGCAGGATCTTAGTTCCCTGACAGGGGAGCCTAGTGCAAAATTAGCAATTAACAAATATTTGGCAAGTGAAAGACTGATAGAAGAAATAAATGACCAAGTTCCCCAATGACTAACTCTGACAAACTGATAAAATCCCAGCAGGGGTAAGGGGCGAGGGTGAGAGACACAAAGCTAGACTAGTCCAAGCACTGGTGCCCACCACAGGCAAGTCACACCAGGAAGTCACAAAAACAGACTGCTGGTTTCTTGCCCTCGTTTCTCTTGGTGTGCAGCACACGTGACTCATTCTTTACGCCCTGAGTCACTCACTCTACCTTGTCCTTGTCCATGACGACACTGGCCACAGGTCCAAATGCCTGGAAGTACTCCGAGAGCTGAGCAGAACCCACATCCCGGGGAAAGCCACTGACAAACACGCTTCGAAGCCCCTGGGCCTTTCGAGTAGCTCGTAGTTCTTCCAGGTGCCGGTGCTTCCGGCCCCCCAGATGGGCATCCAGGCTGGGTCCTGCAAAGACAAGCGTGAGATCAAAGCATCTGAGTCGCGCTTCACTGCACCTACCCTGACTTTGTTCTCTGCATACAGAGATCCTACTGCTTCTTCCAAGCCGTTGAAACTGTGACTTTTGAATAACAAAGTCCTGGTTCCTTTCAACTTCCTCTCTTGTCCATCTGTCTGTACAGTGCATTCTAGGTGGTCCCCAGGAGAACAGGTTGTACACAAGTATTTCTTAAACCACCTATAAGTGCAACATAGAGCAACACCTGCACATGGTAAAGAAACTAACAAGTAACTTATCCAGGTCATATATCAGTTCAGTTCAGTTGCTCAGTCGTGTCCAACTCTTTGCAACACCATGGATTGCAGCATACCAGGCTTCCCTGTTCATCACCAACTCCTGGAGCTTGCCCAAACTCATGTCCATTGAGTCAGTAATGTTATTCAACCATCTCATCCTCTGTCATCCCCTTCTCCTCCTGACTTCAATACATAGATGAACTAAATGAATCAGGACCCTACACTATCTCCCACTTATCATTTCTGAGTATAATACAGAGATTCCAAGGGCAGAATCATAAGTCACACTACCAAGAAACAAATCTCAGCTCTGTCAAGCTGTATGAAATCTTGGGCAAGTAACTTAACCTCGCTATTCAGGCCTCCTCAGGTATGAAATGGAGATATTAATACTTCCTACCATATAGATACTATTCACACATAGCACTTGGCCCAAGTCTGGGACATGTTGAATGTGGGGAAACACAGCTGATTTTTTAATTTTCTATTTCCCTTTGAGTCAGCTGTCTGACATCACCAAGTGTTATGTGGGGCCAGAGAAGACTATCCTGGATTTCTGGCTTGCCCTACTGGACAGTGGTAGGGCATTTCTCATTCGCAATGAAAAAGAAAAATGAAAGATCATGTTTAGGTGAGATTATGATTCCAGACTTCAGAAGTGGAAGCTGAGGTTTCACTTGGCCTCTTGCACTGTCATAAAAGGACGTGGTCTCCTTTTCCAAACCCACGTCCCTAATATGCATACCACGCTACTTCACATCTCTGCCTTTGGGGGGCTCCTCTTGTAGGGCTTCTTTCCCTACTACCTTCTCTGTGATCCTGCAGCTTTTCAAACAGAGGGTATTGAAAATTATCTCCATCTCTAGATTGTGAGTTTCTTCACCTCTTTAAATTCCCTCTCCCCGCCCTAGAGCTGGATGTCCAATACTTGACAGTTAAAGAGGGAATAAAATAACGAAATTTCCATCGTGGAGATTTCAGATACGGGGACGCTGGGGTGTAAGGTGGTAGGACTCTCCCCACTTTGTAATCCCTCCGGACGGCGGAGAGAAAACGGAGGTGAGACCCTACCAACAGACTTGGCAAGAACTATGACCTGTAACCCTAATCTTCGCTAGAACCCAAAGACGAAACCGCACCGCCCCCCACCGCCCCGAGTAGCCACCGCTTACGGTTGGCTGTAGTGATGTGGCAGAGGCAGCAGCGGAAACCCCCACGAGGCAGCGGCTCGATATCTGAATCCACTGTAGCCATCGTAACTCTCTGGTACTAACAAAATGCAACCACCTCAGCCCCGACCGGAACTCCCTCCTACACATGGCAACGCTCTCGGAAGCAACTTCCGCCGGTCCGATAGGAAGTGACGTACCGTCGGCCAATCGCGCGGCACGCTCCTGCTAAAACCAAGCTCTTTCGGCTCAGGGTTCCGTTTCCTGCCGGAGTTAGGTCTCTACCAGCTTTTGGAAAACTGTCCACGATGCTTATCTGCATGCGGTAAGCCAGTTGGTGTGCTCTGAGCGGTTGAGACGTTGATTGGCCCCAAGGTCATGAATATTCACAGGGCAGCCACGAGGCCTGAGCCGGGTTTCTTGCCGGGCCTCCTGTTTGACAGTCGGCCTTTTCCTTGCTGGATGACTTAGAGCATGCTGTGCCCTCCTTCCAGGGGCAGTAGAGACCCATGGGGCTGTATCCTCACCCCCATATTTACCTGGTGGATAAAGGAGGGTCCTTCACAAAGCCCGGTCTGTTCCTAGTCTCCAAACCTCCTGAGGACTCTTACCCTTTTCCCTCTGCCGTTGGTCCTTTCCCAGAATGGTGGTCTGCGCCCGCTTCCTAGCCCTGATTGAGGAGCTCTTCCCCCCCGCGCACCTTTAGAACTCCACGGGCCCACAGCCGGATGGCCTTTCTTCTTCGACAGCGGTCTGCGTGGAGTCTTCACCAGACGCCAGAGCCTCCCGCCCATTTAAAGGCATGCAGCGGAAACTGCTGTGATGGCAACTGCGTAAAAACATTGGAGGGTGCTGATTCCCCCGCAGACTGTTGTAGTGGTCATTCCTCCCGACACCAGAGGTGCTGGCTTAGACCAGGGAGAGAGCAAGGGAGCTAAGGAGGCCCCAGGAACAGGGACCATGAGATAGAGGGGCCTATCAGCTGGGCTAAGCAGCTCTTGCTGTGTTGATCAACCCACAGCATCGGGCTGTGGAAAGAGCAGCGGACCTGAGTCAGGCGTCTCAAGCTAAACTCGAGCTAAATCTGCTGCATAGGCCTTTCCCCATCTCTAAAGAAAGTGCTCAAGAAGCACACAGTAGGCTTCTCTCCTAAGGGGCTCCTCCCGTTGGGACCAGATCGTGTCTGTCTCCCAAACCCCAAAAGGCAGGAAACACCCCAAGGGGGACCTCAGTACCAAGGCAGTTGCTGAGGGTGGCCTTGGGGATCCTTGAAGTAGCAGGAAAGTAGGTAACATGAGCCTACAGTACCCTCCAAAGTGGACTACATCCCGCTCTGGCCTCTAGCAACTCCCAGAATTCCTTCAGTAAAAAGAAAAGGGGTGGAAGAGTTGGGAAATACATTAGAAACTAGACACACACACACACCCTCCCTCCTATAGAATCCACTAGTCAATTTTGAGAACCAGCACATCCCAACTGTTTTAATGAAGCTGGGCCAAGATGGTGCTTGGGCTGCAGTACTGTAGGGAGCTGGGGAGCAGTCTGCACTCTACAGGAAAGCAAAGTGGGAGCAAGCCACCTCTCCAGGCTACATATGGCATAAAGCTGTTCCCAGAGCAAGCCCCATCTACACCTTCTCTTTTGTGCTTTGTCCTTTATTTTCCCCATCCAAGACATACACCCCAACACATACACACACATCCCCTCCTATAGAAGCCACCACACACACACACACACCCTCCTATAGAAGCCACCACACACATACACACACACAGAGCAGAGAATAGCTGAGCCAGGAGGAGCTGAAGAAAACAGCTTTTTATTTGTTACTATAAGAACCAATTACAGAATCCGAGGTTAAAAAAACAGACAAAAGGTCTTTATTTCTGAAAACTGGAGTACAAAAGGCAGAGGGGACAAGGGGAGGGAAGGAAAGAGCGAGCATAGGCTGGGATTGATACCAGCTTAGGGGCCTCAAACTCCAATTAGGAAAGTCCGGACACCGGACGGCAAGAGAAACCACCAATTAGGAAGGGAAAAAAAAAAAAAGACATGGCAGTCATGGCAGTGCACGCCCCCCTCCCCCAATCAGATACCACCACAGGTATCTGTTTACTCTTCCCCTGCCCCATCCCCTTTCACAAAGGGAGGCAAAATTTTTAAAAAATTAAAAAACCCTCCCCCCAAAACTGTCCAAGACAACTGTGGGTCCTACCCCCCAAAACAGGCTAGGTTCCCACAATGAGCCAAGTTCCTGCAGTCCGCCCTCCACCACCAGGCATGGAGAGGCATCGGAAGGGGACAAGCCTCCAAGTGCTAACACCAGAGGGCGCCTGGCCCCTCCAAGGACACACTCATTTGCTCCCTCCCTCCTCCACTCCTCATTCCCTTTGATACGAGAGGGAAGGGAGGCTAGGTGCCCTGTGCACCCACCCTCTAGCTTCCAGCCCACCTCCCTTCCCCACAGGTGCTCAATCTTCCAGGACAATGGGCTCGTTGGTGCTGGCAGGATGTGATGATGGAGGAAGAGGGCCAGGGGGCCGCACTGCCATCAGTGGTGGCTTCACCTTCAAGGGCAGATTGGGCCGGCGGGCAGCTCTCCGCATTTCCAGATGGGTCAGAGCCTTCCGCAGGGCTCTGGCCAGCAAGAGAAGAGGCAGCAAAAAAACCAAAGACTGTCAAGGTGAAACTTACACATTCCACTACAATTCCACCTTACAGCCCATCTTTTCCTAGCACATCCCCCCCTTCAACCCAGTCTTCAGGGAGCTGGTGTTGCTCAGATCCTCCTATTTCCTTTCCCATACCCACCAATCTGGGTTGCTGACCTCTCGGCCCCTCCCGTGGCGGGCTCCCTACCTGGTATCTTTCGTGGCCACAAACACCACAGGATTGGGTGCATCAGCTGGGTTGAGTTTCTGACGCTTGGCTGCTGGCTGTGAGCTTGAGCGAATCCCTGAGGCCAGAGGCCTTCCATTGGCAGAGAAAGGAACTCCTGCCATCTGGAAAAAGGCGGGGCAACACAGTGAGAGGGCCCAGACACCTATCAAGATATAAAAGCCCACCCAACTTCACTTGGCCTACTCACAGTCTCATAGGCCCGTTTCACCATGATGCCCCCCAGTCCCCGGTTCTGGGTCAGCTGATTTCTGTTGATCGGTGTCTTGGTACCCCGAGGTGTTTTTGGTTTCAGAGGTGCCTGGGCCACTGTCAGAAAAAGATTAAAAGAAACCTTAGAGAACATTCATACTTTCTCTATGAATCCCCGCAAGTAGTGATGGAAGAGGGGTCTGACAAATAATTAGCAGTATTTCAAAAGTCACATATGAACATGTTCTTATCAATCAGTATGCAGTTATACTGGATAGCTTATGAGAAGAACATTTTTATCCTACAAAAGTACAGTTAAGACTAAACCTCTTTGGACTCAGTGAGAAAGAAAAAAACAGAGGGAGAGAAGGGTCTTGATAATAAAAGCCAGACACCACCTAGTGGCTCCCCATCCTAAACCCACCCTGAATCCAGTCTAGCTCCCCATCCCTTACCCAGATCTTTGACGATAGTTGCCAGGGGCAGCCGCACCAGAGGGTGAATCTTCAGTGGAGTCTTGGCAGCCTTAGGAAGTCGAATGGAGCCTGGAGAACAAAGATGAAAGCTTTTGAAGGAGCGTCACTATTCGGGGGCCAGGAACCACATCTTTTTGTTTTGGCCACACTGTGCAGCATGCAGGATCTTAGTTCCCTAACCAGAAATCGAACCTGTACCCCCCTGCACTGGGAACACTTAACCCCTGCACCACCAGGGAAGTCCCAAGGAACCATGTCTAATCTCTTTAACAAATCCTTGTGGCCTACTATCCCTGCTGTCATTAAACAACCAGAGGAAAACACTGATCTCTGACCACAGCAACCCCAAACCTGCCACCAGCCCAGCACTCCTGCCCTTACACTCTGCCTTGATGGCGTTGGCATTGATAGGGGCATAGGGTCGTCGGGCAGCCCTCCTTGGCTGTAACAGGTCCCTGCACATGCGTCTGGCAAGACGGGTAAGCTTCGTGGTCTGGAGCAGGAATGTTTGCCTGTTCTTAGCCAGCAGCTTGGCCCGGTTGGCGCTGGTTGTATAGGGGGAGAGACTTTGGGCTTCCGGTCTGGACAAATGACCCCTCGAGTGTGGCTCCTGGAAGGACATAGGATAAAGGGGAAACACAGTCAGTCACCAAGGCTCCCTTCTTCCACTGTCAGCAGAGGGTTTATTCCCTGATTTTGTTGCTGTCCTGACCACCTGGCTCCCCAGCCACTACCAAGTACCACCCCCGCCACCCCCAGTCAAGCCATCACCTTACTGGAGCTGGGTGTTCTGGCCTTCGCCTAAAGCTCACATCAATTAGCTCACTGCTCTCCCCAACCTGCCCCTCATCCATCCTTACTGTGGTGCCCCGAGCAGCCCCCTCAAGCTGAGTTGGGGTCTTCAGTCCCCCGTACTTCTTCCAGTAGATCCAACAGGAAGCACAGAGGCGGCACTGCATGTTGGGTGGGCCCCAGGCGTACCACTGGGCAGACTGTGTGGCTGTGGGAGCATGGAGACGAGGGAATGGTCAGGAGATAAATGCCACTTGAGCCTCTCGGGCAAACACCCCGCTCACCTCCGATATCCCTTATCCCTCTCTGGAACTCACTGTGGCAACTCTCACAAGTCAGGCCCTTTTGGAATCCAGCCCCATTCATGCCAGGTTTTGAGCCCACCGAGATTATCTGGTTAGGGTTTGGTTTGGTGCTAATGGGAGAGAAACCAAGAACTGGTCAAGGAAAGACTTCCACTTTGTCCCCATAATAATCTGCCGCTGTCTCCTGTGCACTCCCCATCACTTAGCAAATCACAGGTCAAGGGGCAGAGAAAGGAAACATACCCTACCGATCATACTTACTAGGTAGGGATGTAGACTTGTTTTAGTTTGCTGTCTGCTTCAGCAGCTTTCAATCTTTTCTGCGGGAAGGAGAAAAAGAAAAAAGGATCAGAGCATCTCAGCGGGGGGTGGGTGGTAGGGGGATGTCATCAACTTCAAAGACAGAGGTGAGCAGGGGGCCTCTGGTCCAGCCTCCCCAGCCCAGACCTTACCTGTTGAATGTATCGGTCTGTGGTTTTCCACATGTAATAAAACTGAACTATGCTGGCCAGTGACTTCCAGGGTAGCTGAAGAGACGGAGAGAAGAAGGGTGAGCCGGGATCTGGCCCCAGAGCCTGGTTCCCTCATCTGCCACCTCTTCCACCTCGCCTCCTAGCTCCAGCCACTTACAAAGTCCTGGCGAATATCATTGAAATCCTTCCCGTACTTCTCCAGGGCCTCTTCAAACAGCATGGCCTCTGAGGCTGACCATTCCTCCATCTCATCCCGACACAACACTGGCCCGCCCTGGGGCACCAGGGTCGACATGGCCTTAGCCAGGTCATAGCCATTCCTCTGCAACGTATCCATTGCATGAAACTACAGGAAAGGTGGGAAGCAATGCTGACGACCTGAAACTCTCAGCACCACTCCCCTGCTGCTCTTTTAAGTACTCCCCCACCTCAAAGATAACCTCCTCCCTGCAGAGTCCCGAGGCTCTGCAGGTCCCCACAAAACCCAACCTACCCAACTACCCACCAACTTTTGCTCACCAGAGTGATATCTCGGGAGGCAGCGGCTGCACTCATGTGCAGGCTTGGCTGCCGAATGGAGCTGCTGCAATCTAGGGCTCTTGCGAAGGTCCCCACAGCTCTAAGGGAGAGAGTGAGAAGTCAGGGAAAGAAGAAAGTTCGAGTGGGCTGAGGAACCAAGCCAAATGAGGCGGGGGAAAAAAAAAAAAAGGACAACACCCAGGCCAAAAATAATTAAAGTCCATCTCTTAAGAACATGACTCAGAACTATGTCCACACCACCCACAGCCCATCTTCCCCATCCACCCACCCCTCACCGGGCCACCACGAGAAACTGATCAATCTGCCGGTCTGTGAGAGGGTTGTCTGGATCCCAGACTTTCATCTCCATCTTCTGTTGGTTCCGATTATCAGATTCTCCTGGGGAGTGGGGAAATGGTATCATCCAGGAGAAAAACAGGTGCCCTGACACAGTACACCTCATCTCCTCCTTGGATTCCATTAGCCACCTTAACTCCCAGACTTCTCTTCCCAGTGTGCCCATCTGCCCCCTTCAGGTTCCTAAGGGCTTATTTTGCCCGGGTCGTTAACACAGAGCCAGGCAGACTGTGCACCACACAAAGCCAGGCCCACCGCTCAGAGACTTCGATCTTAAGACATCCCAGTGGTCATAACCCGGTCTCTCCTGCTGCATACCCTCTGCCAGGCGATCTGGGATCTCAGCTTGGTATTTGCAACCAACTCGGATCTCTCCCTGATCAGCTAGAAGTGTCTTCTGCATAGGGTCAAACACCAGTGAGTAAAAAAAGCAGTCCTGGAGAGAGAGAGAGAGAGAAGGTGAGCAGGGCAGCAGTCCTCATAGGCAGGAGGCATGGGGTTTACCCGGAGTTCCCGAGACAGGCAGCCTGTCAAGCTCTACCTCATCCCAGTCAGACTTTCTTCCTGCTCCCTCCCTCTTCTCCCAACACCTCCTTCTCACCTCCTTTTCCAGGTACTGGCTCAGGATATCTGTTTCATTCAAGAGGGTCACACTGCATTTCCCCCTACAGGAGAGAGGTCAGAAAACCCTGGGTGAGCTCATTTCCTGTGCACGGCATCTCCCACACACTAGCCCCTCCTCTCCACCTTCTAAATAAGTGCATGCAAGCCACAGTGGCCCTGACTGCCCCATACCTTATGTGGGTGGCTGGTAATGATTCGAATTGCCGAGAAAGAAAAAGCTCTCGGTGCTTCAGTTGATGTCGCTGCTGTTCCGACACCCCTGGCTGCTTCGATTCCTCCTCAAACTCCCCTGGGAGATTTAGGAGGAAGAAAGCAAGTCAGAAACTAATTCAGAAAGAAGCCACCTTAAAAACTTTAACCCAGGGAAAATATTTAATGTTTTCCTCACATTCTCCAGGCACCTGCCTTCCATATCCTTACCACACCACCCTTATCTCTTAGCCCTCCCCTGTCGCCATCACAGGTGCTCCCAACTCTTCATCACTAACGAGTGCTCTTAGGGAAGAGCTGCTCAGGGTACAAGAGGCTTCCCAGGTGGCTCAGGGGTAAAGAATCTGCCTGCCAATCAATGCAGGAGACGGGGTTGGATCCCTGGGTGGGGAAGAAACCCTGGAGAAGGAAATGGCAACCTGCTCCCAGTAGTCTTGCTTGGGAAATCCCGTGGACAGAGGAGATGGCGGTCTACGTTCATGGGGTCACAAAGGGTCAGACACAACTGAGCAACTGAACACACACACCCTGAGAGTACAAAGGCTGCCACAGAAACACGAAGCAAACCCAGGGGCCAATGCAGATACCACTCACATAGCACAGATCTGCTCACACCAGGCCCAGCAAGAATATCGCACTTGTCTCTTTCTTACTAACCTGAGGTCCAGAAATTCAGTGAAAATAAATAAACAAATAAAAGCATCACACAAGATTGTGTTTACCAGTTCCTCTGCAAATTTCAGGAGACTCTGCTCGTAAACATCACATGCAACCCCAACTCCCTTGTTTTCTCCTTAGCTAATAATAGTTTGTTTTGGGGGCTCTCAAGGACAGTACCTCTCAAGCCAGTGCCAACACCTTCCTCCCCAAGGAGCTGCAACTCGCCCTGAAACCTTAGTGGAAAGGGTTAACTTGGTTAGGTGCCAACCAAAGAGGGAGGGGGCAGAAGAGCCACAGGCCCAGGCTCATTGGTGCATTGTTCCCAACCTCAAGGAGAAGGGGGGGCAGGGGTGTGCAGTAGGCTCCACCCCTTGCCTGTGTGCTCCGGAAACCCTGTGCTAAGGCAAGGGGGACCACACCCCCCACAGCCTTTCCGATTGGACAAGACCAAGGTCAGCCCCTGCCAGACAGGGCTGGAAACCCCAGAGGGCCAGAGAACTTGGTCGGCCCAGGTCCTCGTTAACCCCTTCACGCCCAATGCTCAAAGAAGCCTAAAATAAGGAAAATAATTTAGAAAGGAAGAACAAGAGAAAGGGGAAAGAAAGCCAAAGCAGGAAAGGAAAAACAAACTAACGAAAACGGAAGGCTGTGTATCATCATGAAGATGAAAGCATCAAGAGAAGCAGGCTAGGCTAAAAAGAAAAGGGCCAGATGTAAAATGGAGTACAGAGGAAGCTAGTCTAGGTGGGAATAAAGGAAAAATGCAAGAAAATGTTTCTGACTTCCTATTTTCTCCCATCAATGTAGCCTGACTACCTCATGATCACACCAAAAAACCTGCTTTCCTGTTATGCAGACTTCTCAGTACAGTCTCTTCTCTCCATCACCTACCATCCCAACATAACCGAAACTGTCCCCCCAGAGGTCTGCTTCTCTAAAGCACTTCCTCATCCCCGATTTAAATACTATCATCTCTTTTACATACACCATTCACATAGGCAAACTCACAAATACTCACATACAAGCCAAATTGCTTTCCTTAGCATGGCCTCTCCACCTTGCTTCTAACCCAACATGTAAAAACAGGCCTCCCTCTGCAGACCAGGCACTCCCCACCCCCAAACTCACACCCCTGCCTTGGGCATGCTACAAGAGAACACCTGCAGGGACATGCCCAGGCTTCAGATCATGGGCAGGGGGAGACAGGGAAACTGGGGGTGGGGACAAAGACACTCACTGGCATTACTATCAGCCAGGCTGTTGAGGCTACTAGAAATGTCCCTTCTCCGGAAAAGGCACACAACCTTCGCCTCCACGTTTCCATTTGCAGTCTAAGGAGAGAAAAAACGGTGGTGAAAACTAATCATTTGACAGTGGAAATGCATAAAGAGACTAACATCAGTGAACAAGTTTCTAAAGGATGTAAGAAAAAAAATTATTAATCAAGAGATTCACATTTAAGGACAGACTTCCAAATCCCTTTCCTCGGCCCCCCAAAAATCAGAAAAGTAAAGTTCCCACTAAGCTCTCAATAGCCTTTCCTGAATGCGTGGAATAAATGAATGAATGAATATGCATGGGTACTTAGGACAGGGTTTGTGTTCTCTCTGTCATTCACCTGAAGTTACAGATCTCTGAAAAAAGAAGAGGGAGGTTGGGGGTGGGGGGGGAGTGGCGGGCCTCTGCTCCACTCACCTTGTTGAGCTCTTCAATCCTTCTAACCAGGTAAGGATTGCTGGAGGAGTTCTCAAAATAGACGTAATCTGTAGGAGGGGGTGGGGAAGAACAGGGAAGATCAGAGCAGTAGATGGGAGAGTCCAGCACCAGAGTGGGAGGAGCGAAAGGAGGCCTGAGTAGACCAAAAGGAGATAAGGGTCTAGGTAGAGAGGACGCTGAAATGTGGAAGTGTACAGACTAGCAGAAAATAATGGAGGGACGTTCCACCCTCCAACCCTAATCACCCAGTTCTTAAATCAGATTCTCCGCTCAAAAGTAACTCTTAAGGAGGAGACAAGAGAAGCAGGGGTTTCCCCAACAGTCCCCACAACTCAGCGATGGAGTTGCATCCCAGTCTCGGTCAAGAGAGCAATTGTTCACTCCTACACAGGGCCCCCACCTTTGCGAACCGAGGCGCACAATAAGGCCCGGGAAGAGGAAACCTCCTGGCCGCTCCCCCGTTGGTGGCCAAGCAGTCGCCCCGGCCCTTCGCGCCCCCTGCCTGCCCTGTCAGCCCCTTTGGAACCACTTTCGCAAGCCCACTCCACGACCCCGGTGGCCCGGACGCTGCCCTGAGAGTGCCGTCGGGCCGCCCGCAGCCTCCCCGGGAGTCTCGGAGCCCGGTCGTGTCGCGATCCCCGCGCCCTCACTCCCCATGCTCCCGGTTCCGGTTCCGGTCCGCGCTCGGGACCACGCCGCCCCAGACGCGGTTCCCCGCGCCGCTGGGAGCCGAGCCTCTTGACTCCAGCGCCCAACCTCTCCCGCCCCGAGTCCCGAAGCCCCTAAAGCCCGGTACTCACCCCCCACTCGGTACATGTTGGCCGCCATGGCCGTTCCCGCCGCCGCCTCCGGCCGCACAAAGGGGTCCGGAAGGCTCCCGAGGGCAGGACTCGAAGCGAAGCCCTGAGCGTGGGGCCGGCGCTTCGCAGAAGTCTCAGTCGGGCCCGCGCAGCCGGCGCCTCCGCAGCCTCAGCCGTCGCGGCTCATCCCGGCCCGCGCTGTCGCCGCCGCCTCTATAGCCTCACGCCCGGGACGCCGAGACCGGCGCCGGTCCGCTCGGCTTCTTCCGGAACGAGCTCGGATCCCGCCGGACCGGAGGCAGGCTGCAGCTACCCCCGCCCTCGCCGAGCCGCACCAGACGTTGGACTCTGAGGGCCGCCGCGAAGACTTGCCGGCCCGCCTCGGGGTTCGCCTCCTTCCGGAACACCTTCGGCGGATCCGGAGAACAAGGCCCAGCATTCGGCTTCGGTCGGAGAGCAAGACCGCAAGCTCGGCTACTTCCGGAAGAAGTTCGGCTCCCTCCGGCCAACCGAGGCCCGGCACTCGGCTATTTCCGTTGCGGCTCGGCCCCGCCTCCGAGGGCGGGGAGAGGAGTTGGGCTTAACTCTCTGCTAGCCGGAGTCTTGCAGATCCGCCTGCGGCCGCGAAAGACTTGAAACGCCTTTGCGCTTCGCAGTTATTTGCAAGCGGCTTTGCCTGTTATTTGCATGAACAGTCCACCCTCCCTCACCTTTTCCGCATTTCCCTTAGCCTTCCTCCCCACCCTCATAAAGCCCCGAGGCGCCCAGCCGCGCCCCACAAAAGGACCGGGAGGCGACTTTGCTTTTGGTTTATTGCCCCTCAGCAGGCAGCGGGAGTCAGGGCCCAGGCTGGGACTGCCCGGCTCAGCCAGCGGGTCTATACAGTGTGTGCAGGGGTGCCGCTCGCCCCCTCCGGGGAAATGCGCTTTTGGGAATGTCTCGAAGTCGAGGACAGGGTCGCCCTGGTCCTGGGGGATTTGGGTGGGGCAGGGCCACACTGCAGGGCCGGTGGGTCCCGTCCGGCAGGGGTCAGACGTCAAGAGAGGAGGCAGGGGACAGGGAGGGGGTTCGAGAGGGCGTGGTGGGCACCGGCCCCGTGCCCCCAGCGCCCAACACTCGCCACTGGAAGATGCTGGCGTCCTTGCCGCCCAGCGAGATGAGGTGCGAGTCGTCGTGCGTGAACCGGACGCTGGTCACGTGGCTGCCGTGACCACCGTACACAAGGCTCGGCGCCTGGGCCGGAGAGAAGTGGAGCTACAGCGGCTGCAGAACCCCGGCCGCCCGCCCGGCCCCGGAGGCCCCGGGAGGCCTCACCTTGGCGCGCGCGCACGGGTACTGGAAGAGGTGCACTTTGCAGAAGTCATCGGCAACGGCCACGACGCGCTCGTTGTGGGAGCGGCACAGGGAGTTGATGTCGGTTCCATCCGAGCCATCTGGCCACACGCCTATCACAGCAGCCGGCCTCAGCCCGACCTCCCCGCCCCCACCCGCGGTCCAGAGCTGCACCATTTCCCTCCCCAGCTCAGGCAGCCCGGCCACCCACCCACCACGTTCCAGGCAATCCTTCCCAGTCCCGAGGGCCGGCCGGGGCGGGCGGGGGGCCTCTTGGGTTGGCTCTGCCAGTTTCTTGACGTCCACCCCCTACACATGTCCAGCATTCCGAGCCCCAGGCGGGCTGCACCTTGTCCCCTCACGCTCCCGCAAGGTTCCGCGGCACGGTGCCCCTGCTCACCGTAGACATGGAAGCCCAGAACGCAGGTGTAGGTGGCCCACTCCCGGTCTCGGCTCTCATAGCGATTCCTCAGCAGCTTACAGCCTCCAGCCACGTCCCCTGGGGAGAGGGAGCCCACCCAGCTCAGTTCTCACCCTGCCTTCCATGGGGAGGATGACATAGGAGACCAAATTGGAAAGACTGGCTTGGGGCCACCGCGTGTGATCTGGTCAGGGTGGTAGCCCTCAGCCCAGGGCAAAACCCAGCCCCTTGTGCTTCCCGAGTTCTCATCTGAAGTTCTCCTCTCTAGATAAGTCAACCCCTCCACACCTGTCCTGAGAAACTTTTCCAAAACAATCTTTTTCCTAGTACATTTTTCAATTCTCTTAAGGCCTGGTGGGAACAAGACATGGTGTTAAACTGTGTGTGTGGTTTTTCTGTCCAAATGACATTTCTCCTATGTGTATAAACTCATCTCCAACCCCTCTATCTGACTGTCCCTCTACTGGGAGCTCCCCCACAATTCCTTCATCCCCTCCGAAACAAGAGCCCACACACATAAATAAAACCCACCCCAATTCCCCTCTCCTCATGCCCTCCCCTACTGTTACTCACAGTAAAGGATCTCATAGTCCCCAGAATTGGACATGATGAAGTTCCCATCCTTGGACCAGTCAAGGTGAGTGATGAAGCTGGAGTGACCCTGGGAGCAAGGGTCAAGAGACTAAAAATGCAGCTACCATTCCCCCCCGCCCCCCACCAGAAGGGCATTAGTTTACCTGCTATGGCAATGCCCCACCCTCCACCCCAGCTTCCTCACCACACAGCGGCCAAAACGGCTGGACTTGGCACCATCACTGGAAACGCTATAGATGTAGATCATGTTGTCATGGGAACCGATGGCCAGGTACAACCCATCTACAAAGACAGTCACTCAGAGAGGGAAGGGCCAGGGATGAGTCTAGGTCCGGGGTGGAGGTGGCTCCCACCTGGGCTGTACCGAACCACTGAGAGCTGCTCATTGCCATCGGTGATGTCAGACACGATCTCTCTGGTCTCTGTGTCCAAAACCAGCCACCTGGAAGGGAAGGAGGTGGAAAACAGGTGTGAGGATACCTGTCCCGAGCAGGGTGCAGGTTGGCAAGTCAGAGAGCCTCAGAGACACCAAAAGGTTGCCTCTCTGCCAGGCAGAGAGGTTGCCATTGCATTCATATGCTGGGAAGTGGAAAGGGGCTAAGGGCAGATAAAAGCTGAGGGGCTCCTGATACCTTTTGAAAAGGAGTCCAAGGGCCCAAAGACAGGGCTTTGTGGATTCTGTAAGCTTGTCACTTCCCTATGCCCCGCCCATCCCCACTGCCCCTCTATCCGGAGCTGCCACCTCCTCCACTCCCAGAGGAGGGGGAGTGGACGGGGGAGGGTGTGATGACAGCTGCCACAGGAAAGCAAGGGAGACCCAGGCTGCAGGCAAAAGCACTGAGGAGTGGGAGGGTGCAGTTGGGGCTCCTGAACAGGCAGCGATCACAGTCCTCCACTGCCCCCCCATTACCAGAAACCCTTCCCATACCTCCTGCTTTCCCCTCCCAGGAGTTCTGGCTCCCTCTCACCTCCCTGTGTTCAGTCCTACGGCCACAACTGCCCCACTGGGGTGGAAGTCAGCACAGAGACCAGTCTCCTGGGAGAGGGGAGAAGGTGAATTCAAGAAGATGCCGTTCAAGTGAGGGAACTAAGATGGATACCTTGTCACCTTGATACAACAGCAAAGCCTCCCCCCTTCCAAGGAGGAGAGGGACAGGAGACCTGGGATGGCAGGCAGGGTGCCTCTGGAGCCTAAACAGAGGTGCTACTCAAAACGCTTAGTCACCAGAACTGATACCCCCAGCTGTGCTGAAGATTAACCATTAGTTGCTGGCTCAAGAGGTCTAGGGGTTGGGGGGCAGACAGTATTCGGGGACACTGGCACCATCAGTACAGAAGAATAAATAATTTAGCAGTCAGTACAGTCACACCAGTGCAAGGTGGCTGCCTTTGGGAGCAAAAGGGAAGCGGATGTTGGGGAAGGAGTGGGGGCCACACAAGTCACGGTGGGTGTGACAGCGAGGATCCGGGGACACAGAGCTCTCTACCTTGAGGTCGATGCTCCAGGCCAGCGCATGGCCCTCCCCATCCCAGAGGCAGAGCTGCCGGTCATGGCCACAGGTGAGGAAACGGTTCTGGAAGGGATGTGTGCAGAGCCCCCAGAGCTCATCCGTGTGACCCTGCAGCGGAGATCAGGTTGTCATCTCTGCCCCTCCCCTACAGCTCTTCCCTCCCTGCTCCCCGAAACCCTTGACCCCCCAACCTGGATTACAGGGGAGAAGCCCTGGGCCAAATCTCCCCGCAGCAACGCGTTCTTCGTGGTGCCCACCAGCAGCTCAGAGCCAGGCCCCTCTGCAATGGCCCTCACGGCCCCGAAGTGCTCAGGAATCTGCAGGGGGGTGCAGAGCGTCAGGTGCCCCCGCCCATTCCTCATCCCCCTCCTTCCCTTGACCCCAGGCCAGCCGTCACCTCCGCCTCCTGAAGGGCCACCAACCCAGGCCCCCACTGGACCAGCCGGCGGTCCCGCCCACCACCACTCAGCACGGTCCCGTCCCGCCGGAGACACAGGGCGAAGATGGAACCTTCATGAGCGTGGGCCTGGGCCACAATCCCATAGGTCTCTGTTGGCAAAGTCCGGGTGGTCATGCTTGTAGGGTGCAGGGAAGGAGGGAACAAGAGCAGCCTAGGCGGTCACAATAGAGGAATCACTCCCAGTTGCTAAGTGCCCACTGAATGCTGTCTCTGATCCTTGGCTTTACAGACTGAACAACCAAGGTTCAAAGAAGTGAGGTAACCTCCTAAAGGCCAGAACTAGAGGTGAACCCAGGACCTGGCAGACTCCAAAGCCCCAGCCCCCTCCCTTTGCCATGCTACCCACTACCCTTCTATTCTGGCTGCCTAGACAGCCCCACCCTCTGACAGAGCCCATCAACTCCCCAGGTAAAAGGATGGGAAATCCTCTCCTCTGTCTTCACAGACCCTCTGGGGAACTAGCCTTTCAGGATGCCACCCCACCTCACAGTACCTTTGGCCCCGCCCCTGCCTGGGGTCCTGGAATCCGAGAGGCTCCGCCCCCAGGTGAGGATGTTCCCCTCTGAGTCCCCAGTGAGAATGTCTCCATCCGGGAGGAACACGAAGCAGGGGATAAACTTGGGCTTCTTGTATTTCTAGGGGCGAGGCAAGCAGAGAGCAGAGGTCAAAGGGTAGGGCAAAGACTACAAGTCACGGGACCACTGCGAGTTGGGTAGCATTAGGGTCTACAGTACACAGACCGATGCTTTCATCTGCACTCTGCCTCCCCCCCCACCCTGCCCCCATCCACGCCTCACCCCAAAGACACCCTGTTTCCTGGTGAGGGTCCCGTTCCCAGGAATCCCTGTTCCACCATTCCAGTTCCAGAAGTGGACGTGGGATTTCCCACTGGTGACGATGCTGCTGCTGTCACGAGGGTTGAAGCCAACGGCGAGGACTGAGTCATTTGTACTCTGAAGGGAAGATACTAGATTCAGCCACCCCCAGCCCTGTACACCTTCATTCTACCAGACTTCTTCAATTGGCATCCTGATGACTGGTCCGCTGAGGTCCAGAATCCTCAGGACAACCCTTCCTCCAAGGCCCTGGTCCCCTAAGAACGCCACTCTCAGTCACTCACTAATGCCTAACACATCCCTCGTGAGGTCAGAACCTCTGTGGTCCCCACTTCACAGCCTAGGAGAGGCTAGGAGGCTTGCTCCAGGGGACCTGGCCAGAAGGGAGGTTCGGGCTTGGGAAATTTGCAGCTCTCTGCACCCCACCCCGCCCAGCACCCTGCCAGGCCCCCTGGACACCTCACCTTGATCTCAGCCAGCTTCGTGCCCCGGCTGCAGTCCCACACCGACAGCATGTGCTCGTTGGAATCATCCACCACACAGAGGAAAGCGCCCTGATCCTGAGGACAGAGGACACACCAGAGGGGCTGAGTGAGGCCTGGCGGTCGTGGGGTTCATGGTCTAAAGGAGGTGAGGGGTGCCATGACAGGCTGAGAGAGCAGAAGGTGCCACGTGTCTCTTAGGAGAACCAGCTGGGCAGGGCTCAGGAAGGCCAGGACTTCTGAGGCTTCCTGGTGAACTACAAGAAGGGGGTTCCCAGACAAGGAAATGGGGGCCTCGAGGCGCCAGGGCCAGCTCACCGCAACTGAAAAGGCCAGGGCCCCCACACCCCGCTCGAAGGCCCCCAGTCCAATCTCCTGCAGCTTCAGCAGCGTCTCGGAGTCCCAGACGTGAACCACAGGCTGCAGGGGCTGGTGGAGGAGGAGGAGTCAGGGGCGTGGAGGGCCGGGCCGGGATCTCACCCTGATGTTTGACCGTTGTCTTACCTTTCCATCTTTATCCACGCCGGCTGTCTGTCCTGAGGCTACACGCACACCATCAGGGTGAACAGCCAGGCTAAGTGGGGGAGGAGACACTCTAGGGAAGGGGGTCGGTCTCTCAAGACCACCCAGGACACCGTCCCTGGGCCTGCAGAGCAGCAAGCCCACTCTCCTCTCCTGCTTCTCCACATCCACCCAAGACCCTCTTTCTGCCAAGCCTGCCCTCCCCACGCCTAGAGCTGCGCACTCCGCAGCCCTGGAACCCTCACCATCGAACGCAGTCCGTGTGCCCCCGGTAATGTCTCTGGCCGCCACCTCCAGGGCCCCCGGGGCCTCCCCCGGGCCGGTACAGCACCACCACACAGGCGATAAAGTAGACCACCTCCCCAGAGCGCAGCACGAACAGATTAGAGCGCGAGTCACGACCCCGGTACCCATACCTGGAGTGGGGATCACAGTCAAGGAAAGGGTTGGATCAAGGGCACAGTGAGGAAAAGAGGAGAAAGAACGAGCTCCAACCAGCAGCGCCACTGGCAGGAGGTAGAAGGGGAGGATTCAGAGGTCTCCCTCTCCTTGCAGACCCAGGAGGGAACCCTAAAAAAGCAGGGGGTGGGAAGGTTTCATGATGGCAAGGGTGGTTGCCGGGGGGGCGACGGGGGAAGGATACACCCAGTCAAGGCTGAGGGTCTCCGGGGGCGGGCCGCTGGGCAGCTCCTCCAGGCTGCGGATGCCAGACGGGATGTACATGGTAATGGGGCGGCCTCGGAGGAACATCTTCACTGAGATGCCTTCTACAGAGAAAAGGAGCAGTTGTCAACCACGGTCCTGCAGCTTCCCCGCTAGGAAAGTCAGGGCAGAGCTCCAACCACCATATCTCACAGCTCCCACCCCCAAACAGCTCCTGGGGCTGCAGCCCCAACCCCATCATCCAAGTTCTTCCAGATCTACCTGGACATACCTAAATTGTAATTGCTCCTCCGAGAGCCAGGACCCCCCGGGCTGGAGAGGGGGTCTTTTCCCCCACGGCTGTTGGGCAGAGAGAAAAGCACAGGGACTGCGGTCAGGTCCCAAGACAGAACTGAGGAGGGGCAGGACACAAGAAAGGAGATTACCCTAGAGATCACAGTCACCTCTGCACACTTTAAGTTTGTATCGTGAGCAGCGAGGGCTCTGGAGTAGATGGGCTCCGTGTAAGGCGTGAGAAGACTAAAGGGGCCAACCATGGCTGTAAGAGGCAGTGTAGGGTGACACTCTCCTCCAGACCCGCAAGCCTTTGCCTATCAACTTTTTTATTTCTCCATCTGTAAAATGGGCCCATAGTGACTCCAGAAGGTACATCAGCCCTGCCTCTTGAGGATCTGAGAGGTCAGCACGAAAGTCCTTATCTCTCAAGGGGAAAGTGAAAGGTGAATTCCAGAGATCGCTGTCATTAGAGGACAATAAGATGACAATCTCTCTTCAGAGAATAAAGCAGAGGCCAAGGATGAGAATGAACAGTCAGGTGTCCTGAAGCCTGTATGTACACACTCTGAGACAATCCACTGGGCTTTCCCCCTTGCTCTCTAAAGCATGGTAGGCTGGGGTGGGGGAAGAGAGTTGAACTCTGAGGAGTCACCCATGGAAACCATGAATACTTTTGGAAAACCCTCTTGGGAACTTGAAAGGGATGCTGTGATACGGTGGGGAGGGAAGGGGCAACGGGAGTCAGGAAGAGTTGCGTTGAAATCCTGGCTCTAGCTGTGTGACCCCAGGCAAACCACTTACCCTCTCTGAGCCTGCTTCCTCACCTGGCCAATGAACAGCATGAGACCACCTACCCCCCAAGGATGTCGTGGGGACTGAATGAGGTGGAGGAGGTCGAGGGGTTGGCACCGTGCAGGGTACACAGCAGGCGCCCCAAGAGCGCTTGTTCCTTTCCTCCTGTTGGGCAATGAGGCCCCCCACCCCACCCAGGGAAGCCAGGTGAGGGATGTGGAAAGTCAAGAACCTGAGCCTGGGGTGGGGTGGGGGGTGGGGCGGGCAGGGGGAGCCTCGCCCACCTCTCTGTGCTCCCTGACCGCAATAACAGGTTGGCCGAGGAAGCTGCCTTCCGGGAGAGTTTCTGGCGAGGCCGTTCTGAGGGGGATGAGGAGGAAGAATTTCTCCGGGGCCTGGGCAGAGCACAGTGAGCAGGTGAACGTCATTCCCTGGGCTCCCCTATCTGCCCTCCCCTCCCAGCCTCAGCCACAGGACACTTACGTGTCAGTGCGCTGCGGGGGCTGAGCCAGCCTGAGGATCCCCGGGGGGCCAGGGGAGCCCGTGCCACTGCTGCTGCTGCCCCCTCCTTCAGACTGGGTCCCACTAGGTTCTTCACTGCCCCCCGGAGGAGCTGGGGGCCCGTTGCTCAGCCCGGGGGGGCCAGGGGATGGTTCCACCTCCACCTCTGCTTCCGTCTGGGTGCCTCGACTCACCAAGGAGGGGCTGCATGTGGGTGGCAGTCCTGGGGGGGCTGCGGGACTGCTGGGGAGACAGTTCATCAACCTGATGGCCCTAGAGGCCCCATCAAAAAGGAGGAGGAGGAGGGTGTGACCACATGCATACCTGTCCCTCGGAGGGCCCAGGGTGCCAGGGTCCTGCAAGGAGGTGGGGGGCGCCTGCAGCCGCAGCAGGCGAAGAGCTTCTGCCAAGGCTGCCTTCACCAGCTCCATCTCCTTCTCCTGCACCTGAAGCCGCCGGCTCAAGGACTGCAGGGCCTCCTGAGCCGGGCCCTCACCTGGGAAAGGGGCAAGAAGCCGTCAGCATGCCACCCCCCCACCCCCCCCACACACACACACCTGGGGAAAGGCTTGAGGGGATTCTCTCCCCCCACTAACTTTGCATCTGTCCAATAGGACGCCCCCCCCCCCCAAGCAACTCCAGGCTTGGACGCGCTCCCAGAGGGGAGGAGACGATGGGAAAAGGATCAAGGGCCTCCTTCTGGCAGGGCAGGCGAGGAACCTGGCAGAGATCCCTTCCTGCTGCCTGTCCCAGCCTCCGCAAAGACAGGGAGTACCATGGAGTACCAGGGGAGAAATATGGAGTTCTGCCGAGGAACGTGGGAACCACAGACGGAGGCGCAGTGCTGGATGAGGGACGACAGGGCCCAGCCCAGAGGAACAGCAGGACTCCAGGGAAAGCAGCGAAACTGCGAGGGAGCACCAGGAGAGAAGCGGGGGACTCAGGACAGTCATCCTGAGCACTCAGAAGAGGTCCGGAGTGACAGGAGAGGGTTAGCAGCGGAGAGCAGAGGTCCCAGCGCAGGTTCCAGGGTAACAGAGGAGGTCAGGAGCAAAAAGACCCAACAAAGCAGGAAAAGAAACCCAGGCTAACACAGGAGGTTCGGAAACTTTGCAGGGGCCCAGAGTAACACGGGAGGCAGGATGGCGTTGGCGAAGTCCGAAATGACAGTTGAAGGACCCAAGTAACTAGGGGGAGCGGCCTGAGGAACAGTGGAGGATGCTGGAGCCCCCGGGGCCAAGGAGCACGCGGGGACGCCCAGGACAGCCGTCGGGCAATGGCAGCGCCAGAGCGGCCGGCGCTCCGGGAAGGGGCACGCCGCCCGCCCCGCCCCGTACTCACCGGGCCCCCCGGCCCCGTCCATCCGGCCCCCGGCTTGCTCCGAGCGGCGGCGGCGGAGGAGGAGGCGTCTAAGCCGCGGGGGCCATGGCCAGGGAGAGGGGAAGGGGAAGCACCCCGGGGCGCGCGCGCGAGGGAGCCGAGCCACCCCCCCGGGGGCGCTGTCGGGCGCAGGCAAAGGGCCTGGAGGGGGCGCTGTGGGGAGGGGGCCGCAGGCTCTGGGGCTCTCCGGGGCCTCGGACTCTCCCGGGGCCGCTCTCGGCTCCCGGGGGTGGGGTGGCGGGGCAGTCCCGGGCCCCAGCGCCGCAGCACAAACAGGCCCCGGACGCGGAGCCGCCAGGAAGCGCGGGAGGGGGGGCGGGACGAGGGGGGGGCCGGGCCGCCTGGTAACCCCTCCCTGTCCGGGCCTCGAGGCTCGTTACGGGGGCGGGGCCAACCCTCTGACCTCCCCCCCCACCCCGGGTCCCCTCCGGCCACCACCCTCCCGGCCCTTCCGGGATCCTGGCCCTCGGACTCCCTGGGGACCCAGGAAGGAGCACGGGGCCAGAGGTCTCCGCCCCCAGCCCCTAGCCTCTGGGGGGCTGAACCGGCCAGCCCCTCCCCACTTCCGTGAGGGGGCAGAGGCGGGGTCACGAAATCGGCCCTTTGCCCGGGGGCGGGGCTTTCCCTCAGGGGCAGAGCCGAGGCATCCCGAACTGGGACTGGCTGGGCACCCGGGACGGCGGGTTATTAAGGCTGTGGCGGGAGGATGCCCAGGGTATTGGGGTCAGGGTGGCATTAGCCCAGCTCAAGCCGGGCCGGGCTGACGCAGCATCCTGCCACGGCCAACCCCAGCTCCTGACAGCTCTGCTGTCCCTCGGGCAGAGATGGGAGATGGCGCCGGTGCTGCCCCTGGTCCTGCCCCTCCAGCCCCGCATCCGTCTGGCGCAGGGGCTCTGGCTCCTCTCCTGGCTGCTCGTGCTGGTCGGTGGCCTCACCCTCCTCTGTAGCGGGCACCTCCTGGTCCAGGTGTGGCACCTTGGTACCTTCTTGGCTCCCTCCTGCCCATTCTCTGCCCTGCCCCAGGTTGCCTTGGCGGCCAGTGCAGTGGCTCTGGGCACAGGACTGGTGGGCTCAGGAGCTAGCCGGGCCAGTCTGGATGCAGAACAATACCCTCCCTGGCGAGGGGTCCTGGGCCCACTGCTGGTGGCTGGCACAGCGGGGGGCGGGGGGCTCCTGGTTCTCGCCCTGGGACTAGCCCTGGCTTTACCTGGGACTCTGGACACGGGGCTGGAGGAGGGCCTGGGTTCTGCCTTGGCTCACTACAAGGACACAGAGGTGCCCGGACGCTGTCAAGCCAAACGGCTATTGGATGAGCTGCAGCTGAGGCACCACTGCTGCGGCCGTCATGGCTACAAGGATTGGTTTGGAATCCAGTGGGTCAGCAACCGTTACCTGGATCCCAATGACCACGACGTGGTTGAGTGAGTGATTTGCTTCTCCCATCCTTCTCCTCCTCCTTCTTCTCTTTCCTTGAAACCCCACCTCACCCAGATAGGCAATAATTCATCTAGTGATTGAGGGAAAGGGGCCAGGGCATGGTACCAAACTGCTCTGGGCCCATGTTTGTAAACTGGAGATGATAAAACTACCATCTCACAGAGTTGTTGTAACGATAAGTGAATTAATCACGCCTGCCTGGCATAGTAAAGCAGTCGGTAAGTGTTTCCCTTGTTTTTCCCTTCTCAGCTCCTGTGCCCTGCAGCTTCTCCCCCAGGCCTCTATCTCCAGATATCCTAACACCCCTGCCCCTCCCTTTGCAGCCGGATCCAGAGCAATGTGGAAGGCCTGTATCTGATTGATGGGGTCCCTTTCTCCTGCTGTAATCCCCACTCACCCAGACCTTGCCTGCAAAGCCAGCTCTCAGACCCCCACGCCCACCCCCTCTTTGATCCCCGACAGCCCAACCTCAACCTCTGGTCCCAAGGATGCCATGAGGTGTTGCTGGGGCACTTGCAGGGGCTGGCAAGCACACTGGGCAACATGCTGGCTGTTACCTTCCTGCTGCAGGTGAGTCAGCAGAGAGTCTGAGGCCTCCTCACCGCCTCCAACCCAGGGAGCCGTAGAACTGCTGACCCTTGTTGACCTCTTGCCTCTTGCTTCCCCCCCACAGACTCTGGTACTTCTGGGCCTGCGATACCTGCAGACGGCACTGGAGGGGCTCGGAGGAGTCATTGATGGGGAGGGAGAGGCCCAGGGCTACCTCTTTCCTGCTGGGCTGAAAGACATGCTGAAAACAGCTTGGCTGCAGGGAGTAGGGCCCCACAGGCCAGCACCTGGGGAGGGCCCCCCAGAAGAAGAACCTCCCAAGGAGGGTCTACCTGAAGCCTAGCGCTTAAGATGGGGATGGGGTGGGGGGAAGGGGAGGGATGGACAAGACTGGAAAGCTCACAACTCCTTATAGGCTCCCTGTGAGGGAGGGGGGAATCTGGGATTAGAGGGTTACGGATAGTCAGTGAGCTGGACTGGGGTAGGAGAGAAAACCAGGTGTCCTAGGGCCTAGTCCATGGCCAGAACCACCAGGGGACAGAAAGCAAAACCAAGGTGGTGGGAATGACATGGGAAGGCCTGGAGGCTACTTCTGGTGCACAGACTCAATAAAGCTTTTGTTTTTTTTTAAATTTTTTTTCCATTTATTTTTATTAGTTGGAGGCTAATTACAATATTGTAGTGGTTTTAAAAACATGGAACGCTTCACGAATTTGCATGTCATCCTTGTGCAGGGGCCATGCTAATCTTCTCTGTATCGTTCCCATTTTAGTATATGTGCTGCCAAGGCGAGCACTCAATAAAGCTTTTAGACTGAAGCTCCTAATCTTTCTCTTCAAGAGGGTGGGGGGCCCTGAAAGAACTGATTTCCATCTGATGGAGAAGCCAGGACCCAAGGGTGTTGACCCTGGTAAGAATTAAATGCAAGAACCTGACGTGGGAAGTGAAGGAACACAGAGGCCCCGCCAGGTTGAGAGTTTTTATTCTGGAGGTAGGAGAAGGGGGTCAGCATGCTCAGGTGGGGAGGGTCCAGCCCAGCTCCTCCAGCACCCCCAGCGCATGCCCAGCCCCAATAAGTTACCCAGTGACTCAGCTGCCCTCCCTCCTGAGTCTGTCTGTTTTCTGCTCCGCCCCAGACAGGGCCAGTCTGGTTCAACAGGAGGGCTGTTTGTCCCTAGCCTGGGAGCAGTGCCGCATGGCAGGCCAAGGGAGGGGCTGAAGGGGCGGAGGGGCCGCTTCTGGCTCTGAGGGGTCAGGACTTGGAAAACCACATCCTGGGCGGGCCAGGGGCCTAGTCCCACAGCTCTGTGCCTGGTGAGCTGGTGGGCAGGGTAGGGCCGCCATCACACCTCGACAGCTGGGTCTGAGCCGCGGCCCTGCCGCTGCAGCTGCTCCTCCTGCTTCATCTTGGGCTTCTCCGTCCGCGTGTGCCACACTAGAACCTGTCCAGGGAGGTTTCAGTTAGAGCCAGGCCCAGCCTCAGCCAAGCCTCTGGGGCACTCAGGATAGAACGGATCCCCCCACCTCCTAGACACACACCATGTTGGCTGCTAAGTATGAAGGGCAGGGGGAGGGGGAGGCTTTAGTGCTTCTCAAAGTCAAAGTGTTAGTCGCTCAGTCATTTCCAACTCTGCGACCCCATGGACTGTAGCCTGCCAGGCTCCTCTTTCCATGGAATTCTCTAGGCTGGAATACTGGAGCGGGTTGCCATTCGCTTCTCCAAGAGAGATCTTCCCGACCCAGGGATCGAACCCAGGTCTCCTGCATTGCAGGTAGATTCTTTATCATCTGAGCCACAAAGGAAGCCAGTGCCTCTGAAATGGGGCTTAATCCCTTACCCACTCTCTGTCTCAGGGGTGCCAGGAGTCCACTTTCCTTCTCTGACTTCCCCTTCAGTAGAGTAAGCAAGCTCTGCAGGGTCTCTCCTTGTTCAAACAACCATCCTCGATCCTGCTCCGCAGGGCCTCATTCCTCTCTCCCATCTCCTGTCCATCCCAGAACCAGGTTTCTATGCCCACCTCCATCCCCTTACCCGAGTGCAGTTGGCAGCCCGCGGCTCCAGGTCCTTGGGATCTACAAGGTGGCTCAGGAGACTGCTCTCCAGATGGCCCCGAGGAGCGGTAGCATCAAACCGGGCATTGGGTTTAGCCAATAGCAAAGACAGGGCAACAGCAAATCCCGCCATATCCACTGGGAAGGGCCTGTTGGGCTCCCAGGCCGTGTGGAAACCGACAACCCGGCCATCCTGTACGCGAGGGCCCTCGAATCGAAGGCCGCCAACTAGCCCCACAGGCCACACTGAGACACCATGGGTCCAGCGCATCTAGCAGAAGTCAGGAAAGAAGAGACAGGAAGTGGCCCAGAGGAAGAGGAGTAGCAAGGACCACTTGAGTCACTCTGCCCCACCACTCGCCACTCCCCACCCAGGGAAAAGGATGCCGCGGGTCTCACCGGGCCTGCTTCCCCCGCCCCGTGCCAGCGCTCACCTCCTCAAAGAGCTCCCGGCTGTAGGTGTTGTCATCGTCAGCAAAGTACACGACTCCCCGGGTACCTGGTGGGGGTGGGTCCTTCTCTCCCCCAACAGCACCCCCTCCGCTCCGGAGCCAGTCCAGGGCCCTGTTCCGTTGCTCTACACCTCGGGGCCGAACCCAGCCTGGCTCGCCCTCCCGGAGCCGCTGGGCCTTGGGGGTGAGGACCGCCAGGTGTGTGAAGAGGAGGCCAGAGGCAGCCAGCAGCCCAGAGACCAATGGGGTGGGGCCCTCAGCATCCTCCACCAGCAGCCAATGCAGCCGGGGCACCAGGCTCAGGGTCTGGGACAGCCGCACCAGCTCTGCCTTCTGCACCAACCTGCAGGGGGAAAGATGCAGGAGGGAAGGGGTGGCCACCATTTGCCCACTCCAGCAGGTACATATGTCTTCTTCTGGGCCACTCTTAGCACCCTCATGACATTTCCCTGACCAGCTCCCAAACTCCCTGTTGTTTTTTTTTTCAGCTGAGTAGCTCAGCATGTGAGATCTTGGGTCCCTAATCAGGGACAGTACCTGTGCCCCCTGAAGTGGAAGCACAGAGGCCTAACCACTGGACCACCAGGTAATTCCCTCACCTGCCCTGTAATGTTTTAAATTTTTATCTTTTTGGTTATGCTGCATGGCATGTGGGACCTTAGTTCCCTAACCAGGGATTGAACCTGTGCCCCTTGCATTGGCAGCGGAGTCTTAACCACTGGACTACCAGAGAAGTCCAAGTCTCCTTTTGATTTCTGGTTCTATAGACAATACAGAACCAGAGTCTGTGGTGGGGGAGTCTTCTAGACACTGTCTCCTGATGTCTGTAGTTGCTGTGCAGAGGGCAGTGCCTTCTTAGACCAAAATGATTGAACCAAGGTCATCCCTGAGTCTCTTGTAAGTTTCTTTGCCCTTCAGATGGGCCTGCTGGCCCCAGGGTTGGCAGTGTGTGCATGGAGAGTGGAGGGTCTTAAGATGCCTAGCCTAGGTGGGCCTGCCATCTGATTCCAGGCAGATGTCAGCTAGCCCTTTTGGCTCCTTTCAAAACCACATTCCAAAAAAAAAAAAAAAAAACCACATTCCCCAGTTGCTTTGTATCACTAATAAAGCTACATTTTATTAAAAAAAAAAAAAAAGGAACACACTTAGCACAGTGTGGGGCAGAAAGTAAACACACTAACAGCTGGTGTAACTATTTCTAGACCACCATATGACTGTATGGCCAAGTCCTTCTCTACTTTATGTTAGTCAAGGGGTTTTCAAACTTCCTCACCAAAGGTTCCCTAAGGAGACAGAGTGAACTCACTTGGCAAATTCAGAATTTCTTTGAAACTTTATTGTTGTATCTTAAAATTTCTCAGGAATTTTCTACACTACTTCATGGCACATCCCTGTCTATATTCTTTATCTTTTGTCCACACCACATGGCATGCAGGATCCTGGAGCTCCTGACCAGGGATTGAACCCGCACTCCCCACGTGGGCAGCCTGGAGTCTCAACCACTAGACCACCAGGGAAGTCCTCCCATCTAGGTAATAGGAAAAAAAACAATTTCCCCAAGATCTCTGAGTAATGATGTGGTTCATTTAGCCTGACAGTTGGTAATGCCTTAGCCTGAGGAACATCCCCTGGCCCAGTGCCTCCTCATCATCAACCAGAAACTCATCATCAACCCCAGCCTCTTGGTCCATGCAGATCCTGGGTGCATCAGAGCCCATACCTGGCATAGGTGGGGGTAACAACATAGATAGTAGGCAGAGCCTCGGGTTCAGGGGGCTGGGCAGGGGCAGGGGGTGGGCGACGGAGATCGGCTTGCAGCTGGGAGATCCTCAGATCCTTCTGCCGAAGCTGCTCCGCTGCTGCCCGCAGGGGAGGGAGGCAGTCACATGGCTGGCCTGGTCCCAGGAAACAGGGATGGAGGCAGAGAACCACAGGATGTTCAGCATCCCAAAGGGCCATTAACCTTCCCATTCAACTAACCAATGCGGGGCTCTCCTTACAACTGCTCTAACAGCTTTTCTACACCCAGGGTGGTGAGGAACTCACTGCCTTAATTAGCAACGCCTCTCCAACTTGACAATTCCATCCATTACAATTTTCATGTGTCTATTAAAGTGATCACCTGCCTCCTTTCTACCTGCTGAGCCTAATTTTGCCTTCTGGAAACATAACGAACAAGTTGATCTCCTAAAACAGGGGCAGTCTTTCAAATACCTGAGAATCATGCAGTGGCCCAGTCTCTAAATCCCTGCATAAGAGGCAGGGTTCAATCTGTTCCATTGGCTGTGTGACCAAAGACTCATTAAATTCATTGATTCCATCACTGGATAAATATTTATTGAATGCTCCTCCTGGGAGGCACTGCCTTAGGTGCCGGGCTGCAGCAGGAAACCAAACAGACATGGTCCCTGCCCTCATGGAGGTTTCAGTTTAGTAGAGGAGCTGGACACTAAGCAAAGAAACAAATTAATAAAATTATTAGAAACTGTGGTAAGGGCTATGAAAGAAACAAATAGGAGGGAGACTTAAACGAGAACCCAGAGTAAGAGTGACTTTTACGTAAGGTGGTCAAGGAAGGCCTCTGTGAGGCGGTGACATGTAAGCGAGCTGAGACCTGAAGGATGAGAAAGAGGCAGCTGGGGAAGAGCTGGGAGAAAAGCACTACAGGCAGAGACAGGTTAAGTGCCTGAGAGCAACGAGCGTGGGGTTTTCAAGAAACTGTCATGAAGCCAATGTGGCTGGAGCAGAGCGAGCGAGAGGGATGGGAAATGAGGTTAGAGAGGCAGACGGCGGCGGGATCACGCGGGGCCTGGCAGGCTCTGGGAAGGAGTCTGATTTCACCCGAGGTGCGGCGGGCAGCCGCGGTGCGTTCTGGAGAGGGGAGTGCGCCCAGGGGCCGCAGAGGGGCTGTCGGAGGACCGAGCCGGATTAATGGGGTCTGCGCGGGGTTTCATCCCCAGAGCGGGATGCACAGCGGCGGGATGCCCTTCGGCCGACTCGCCGCACCCCCGCCCCGCCCCGCTCACCGAGCTGCACCAGTGCGTAGAGGAGGCCGGCGATCGACACCAGGAAGTAGGCGAGGAACACGTTCTTCAGCTTCAGCTTCATGGCCGCGCCGCCTCCGCCGCCGCCGGGGCAGGCGGGGTCCGGCGGGGACAAGGGGTTCCCGCCCCCCGCCCGCCCGCCAGCCCCGCCCCTGCAGCGGCCCCGCCCCGTGTCCCGCCCTCCTCACACTCGTCTTGAGCGGCTCCCAGGAGCTAGCGCTGGCAGCGCCCGTCTGGGCCCACTTCCGGTCAGTATGCACACACACCCCCCTCCCTCTGGGTAATTTCCGGTCCCATTGCCTAGTTCTGGGAACTACGGGAGTGGGTGACGTCATATCCGGCGTGTCAAGACCGCGTGGCCGGTGGTCAGGAGCCAGGTAAGGTACCCTGGGAGTGGCTTAAGACCCTCCGCCTTGATCTCCAGTTCCTGTGAGCATATTTTCTTTCTTTTTTTGAGCATATTTTCTTATATTCATTCACTCCCCCATCCACCAGTCCCTGCACGCAGTAACAGTAGCTCAATAAATAATTGCTACACGAATGAGTGAAATCTACAGCCCTGCCAAGCCTAGACAGCATATTAAAAAGTAGAGACATTACTTTGCCGACAAAGGTCCATATAGTCAAAGCTCCGGTTTCTCCAGGAGTCATGTATGGATGGAAGAACTGGACTATAATGAATGCGGAGTACGGAAGAATTGATGCTTTTGAATTGTGGTGTTGGAGAAGACTTGAGAGTCCCTTGGATTGCAAGGAGATCAAACCAGTCAGTCCTAAAGGGAAACAGTCCTGAATAACTCATTGGAAGGACTGATGCTGAAGCTAAAACTCCAATACTTTGGCCACCTTATGTGAAGAACTGACTCGTTGGAAAAGACCCTGATGCTGGGGAAGATGGAAGGCAGGAGTAGAAGGGGACGACAGGATGAGATGATTGGATGGCATCACTGACCCAATGGACATGAGTCTGAACAAGCTCCAGGAGTTGGTGATAGACAGGGAAGCCTGGGGTTGCAAAGAGTCAGACACGACTGAGCAACTGAACTGAACTGCCAAGCCTGTGCTCTGGTTGTCTCATATAATCCTCACTATAATCCTTCGATAATTTTAATAAAATTTAGGATGACTGTGTGTTAGTTGCTCAGTTGTGTGTGACTCCTTGTGACCCCATGGACTATAGTCCTCCAGGCTCCTCTCTGGTGGAAGTAGGTAGCCATTCCCTTCTCCAGTGGATCTTCCGGGAATTGAACCTGGAACTCCCACATTGCAAATTCTTTACCGTATGAACCAAGGAAGACCACAATTTAGAATACTATCACTCTAAAAATTGATGTTGCAGAATTTTGATCATGGCAAAAGTGCAAAAACATAGTAATATAATTAAGTGGAAAAAAGCAGAGGGCATTTCTGGCATTTCATTAATGATTAATCAACCTCTTGTCCTAGTACGTCCACTTGGAATCAGGTCCCTTTCTGGGATGAAGAGTTTACATCGATAGTGTTTTCCCAGCACATCCAGCAGTAGTTTAAGAGCAAATTGCTCTTCAGCGTTGTCACAGTACCTGTCCACTTGTGTGTGAGATAGATTTTTGTCTCCACCTTACAGGTAAGTAACTAAGATTGCCCCAAATAATGTAATCCCCACTGTGCGATTTTTGATGTGCCTTCTAGATACCTGACTCCAGGATCCTGTATTGTTTTTCCTCTGACCCAAACTTCCTACACGTATGACGACAGGGATGGAGGTGGGATGCAATGTGCTATCTCCCAGGGAATTAACTGGAAATATTTCTTGAGCAGAGGAATTTCCTGAACACACCCCCTAACTCCTCACCGGCATAAACCATCCTAAGCAGTAATTTTCCCAAACCAACCAACCTAGTTTCTTGTTAAGATAATCTCTAAGACTGTGGTCAATCTGCAAAATGGAGGAAACCATCTCCTGTCACTGATACAAACGCAAATTTGTTTAATACTGCTAAAGAAAAGCAGTCTTGGGCTTCCATGGTGGCTCAGTGGTAAAGAATCCGCCTGCCAACGCAGGAGACCCAGGTTCAATCCCTGGTCTGGGAAGATCCCATGTGCTGGGGAGCAACAAAGCCCCTGTGCACTACAAGTACTGAGTCTGTGCTCTAGAGCCGGGTAGCTGCAACTGTTGAGGCCATGAGCCACGACGACTGAAGTTCGAGCGCCCCAGAGCCCATGCTCTGCAACAAGAGAAGCCACCATAATGAGAAGCCCGTGCACTGCAATGAAGAGTAGCTCCCAGTCCCCACTGGGAAAAGAAAAGTCCATGTAGCAGTGAAGACCTAGCACAGCCAAAAATAAATTTTTAAAAAAGAAAAGCAGTCTTAAGTGTGAGAACATCTAACATAGAGCTATTTCTAGAGGGACCCCATTAGCTCTAGTCACCACTATGAGCTAGGCCCACTAAAGTCTGACGATCTTACTGGGTTCCTTCGTGACCTATTGGCATCAAGCAAGCTGATGAAGGCTTGAACTCTTCTGCTCAAGCAACGAGGCATAGGCTGAAAATGTCAGGTCCTCGGGCTTTTAAGGGTCTGTGGTTCAACCCAGAACTAGAATCCAGACACCAACAGTAATTAATGGTTTCTCTCTTTATTGTTTCTCCTTTTATCAAAACCTGTCACAGCTGGGGGCCAAAAGGAAGTAAAAAAAATTCCCACAAATATCCCCACCCCTTGTCCCCAGTGAGTTCTTCCCCACCCGCCACCCAGGGCCTTAGGTCAGCCCTGGGCACACATGATCATGTCCCCCCACCCTCGGCCTCCTCCCAGCAATAAATACAGGTGACCGTGATTCCATGAAACCACAAGTGATTTCTCCATCTTGAATGCCCCTCAAGGGGACAAAATTTTAGGAGGCAAAAGAAGTCTTGCCCACCCCCATCTTGAGGAGTGTAAACTTCTTTCCCCCAAGGGACAGGGGAGATAGAACGCCCCTGTCAGAACCGCAGCAGCTCTAGATAGAAGCGGGGAGAGGAAAGGTTGGGATGCCAGGGAAGAGAATGATTTCCAGCAACCTCACTCCTTTGATCCATTCATCCCTTCTCAGGGTAAGGGGTGGTCCCAGTGTATCAGGGGAGGGCTGATAACAGAGAAGAACCAGAAGGAAGAAATAAAAGGAGGGAGGAGCAGTCTGGTGGGGAAGGAAGGAGAAGAGGAGGCCGAAAGCTCACTGCCGTCATCTTCTTCCAAGAAATGGCATCGACACGCAAGGGAAACAAACGGAGAGGGTGTGGAGGAGACTGAGGGCTCCCAAAAGAAGGCGAAGGGCAGCAAGAGCCCTGTGATCCCCAGGTCTTCACAGGTGAATGTGCTCCAGTTAGAGCAACAGGATATTTGGAGATGATGGGAGATTTCGTGTCAGTGGGGTGGGAGAGGTCGGGAGATCACAAAAGAAATTCAGACCCAGGGACAGCCCTCTCATCCTGCCCAGATGCTGGCAGAAACCTGGATCTTGAGATAAGAAAGGTGAAGTCTGGGGAAGGTCAAACTCCAGGGCAGAAGGAAGAGTAACTATCATGACCATCACACCCCACCCCAACATCCCTTCAGTTATCGCAGGTGAATAGTCCAGTCAGATGCCACATTGACGCCAGGCTTGCGCAGGATCAACACCGAGGTCTCAGGGTCATGCTGGAAGGACAGGCGGCTTTCAGGAGATCCTGGTGGAGGAGGAAGAAACAGTGCCAGGATGAAGAACAATTACTTTCCCAGAGGCAGGGGTCCCCAACCCGGGGGCCAGATCACTCACCTTTTGTCTGGAGTACAACGGTTGCTGGCTTTCCGGCCCCTATTATCACCACCCGCTCAATCCAGATTGGTGTCTCAAAGTGGCCTTTGGGGTCTGCGGAGCTGGAAGAAGCAAAAATGGACACCCAGCAGGAAAACAATGATCAGAGCAGAGAGGAGGAGAGCACAGCGAGCTGCGCGCATCCCGGGGCCCAGACGCCTCCTCCTGCAAAGGCCGCTGAGGAAGAAAGGGCTCCTCCTTACCTGGAGACCAGGGTGTTGCCGGAGAACGAGAACCGACGCAGCAGGAACTCATGGCGAGTCTGATAGTTGAACGTGTGCCCATCGTCTAGGAAGAGCTCTCCTTGGGCCGTACCCTGAGCAGGACGTGGGACAGGTGAGAGCCTGAGCCCCGGAGGCAGTGAGGGGCGCCTGCCCTGGGGGACTGCATTCCTGGAGGGCGGACAGATGGAGGTGGCGGTTCCCTGCCCACGCACTCACCTGGAGGCTAAGTGCAACGAAGAGAGTGATGGGGTCATCCTTCATGCAGTCTGAAGAACGCCGCACTCGCATCCACCGGGGCACAATGGTCCCTCCACGCTGGAATACAGGGATCTAGGGCGAGACCAGTGCCGGGATGAAGCAGCCATGCTGTGCCTCTTGCAAGTCTGTGCCCCCTTAGGAACTGGACTCCAGCATATACACTCTCCCCGCTTCTGGAAACCTAGAGGCACATGGAGCTGGCAGCTGGGCCAGGCATACTCACGCTGCTTAGAGTTACAGGCAGGTACAGGGTCTGCGGACCGTGATACTTCTGGTAGCTCTGAACATCATACCATACCTGTGGGTGCAGAAGATAGCCTCGGTCACTCACTGCACAGAGGACCCCACACTCTTCACCCTCTCTGACCTCCACCCTCTTTCCCCCACCACACCCTTTCTTAACTCACCTCCCCTTGGCCAGGCAGATAGACCTGCACACCATGAGCCTCAGAGTCTGATACAGGGTGAACCAGCAATGCATCCCCTAAAACATGGCAGAATCCACTCTGAATTGGGGGGATCGGTTCCCAAAGAGGGAGCCCTAAAGCATCTGCCCCCTTGCACCAGCGGCCTCTGACCCTCCTCCCTTCCTGTACATCCACAGACACATCCCCCACAGGGCTTCCTGCTTCTCAGCCCTACCCCAACCCACCACTGACTGTCCTTGTTTCTCACCAAGCAGGAACTGATCATCTATACTGAAAGTGGTCACATCCTTAGGATAATGCACCCACAGGGGCCTAGGAAGGAAGCAAGACAAGAATGGAAGACACCTGCTGTTTTGGTGGAAGTCAAAGATGCTACCCTAGGAACTGGCAATAAGAAGAGCACAGGGGTAAGACCTGGATCTGGCAGCCAGTAAGGCCTCAGTTGTGCAACCTAACCTTGGACCAGACATCTGGTTTCCCAACCCACCTCCGTTGCCTCCTCCCTGGCTCCTTCTGCAAAATGTTCTGCAGAGAGACCTTCCAGTGGCCACTTTATTATCCTGGCCTAAAAGGCCCTCCAGGATCAGGTCGTATTTTCCACTCTACCTCACCTACCTCTCCCTCTGGTTCGTTACCCCTGAAACACACTGTGTTTTTTTTTTTTTTTCCTACTCCTGGAACACACCAAACTGGTTTCCATTTCATAATGTATGCACTTGCAGTCTCTCCTGCTTGGAACATTGCTCCTCTGGATCACAAGTGGCTGTCTTACTCATCAGTCAGGCCTCATCTTTACATGGCCTGTTTGTGGAACTTAATTCCATTACCCTGTTCTACTTTTTACAAACAGCTTGTCAGTGTTGGCAATTTTCCTATTTACATATTTGTCTACACGTCTCTGTCTTCCTCACAAGGGGAGGACACTTGTGTAACTTGTTTCAGGCTCTGCAGGTAGTGATGGATGATGCCTGGCATGACATAAGCACTCAGGACGTTAACTGCTATTCATCCCTACTGGTCTCTTCTCACTCTTCCCCTTGCAATCAGATTTCCCTCCTTTTCAAGGCCCTGGCGAATGAAGAAAAGAGCCCAGAGATGGAGCCCCGTCATCCCCACTGTCTCCCAGCCACCTCAGTCCATTTTCCACAGACCCAAGTGAATGCCTTACCTCATGACCGGGATCCCCTCGCGATGGGATTGATAGAAGAGGGTGTACCAGAAAGGCAGTAAGGAGTATCGCTGGCCCAGGGCATCTCGAATTATGTCGTGGTACTGAGACGGTAACAGCCACGGTTCTCGCCGACCAGTGTCCAAGTGGGCATGAGCCCGGAAGAATGGCTGGTAGGCACCCATCTGGTACCAGCGCACAAGCAGCTCTGGCTCTGGATTTTTGAAGAAGCCGCCCACATCCGCTGGAGAGGGGAGGGAGAAAGCAAGTTAGAAAGAGGGTGAAGGAGGTCTAAGGAGCCCCCCCGAGGCCCCGGCCTGGGTAAGCGGTTCTCTGCTCAAGCCTAGGGTCCATCTGTGCCCTCTACTTTGCCCCTCTCCCACCAAATCAAGGCCCCGGATTCCTCCTTCTCTTACCTCCACAGAAGGAAAGTCCCACCAGCCCCAAGCTGAGACACATAGGAATGGAGATCTTCATGTGGTCCCATTCAGCAGCATTGTCCCCAGTCCACACGGCTCCTGAGGAAGAGAAGAAGGCAGGCATTTACATACAGTGAAGGGCTCAGCCTTTAAGACAGCTGACCTCTCTGACCTGTCACACCTGCTCTGGGGCCCCCAGGGTCCTGCTGAAAGTGGCGGAGTTCACCAGAGCACTCAAACAGGGACTGGCCACCCCATGCCCTGCCTCCCTTTAAATGCACAGCTGGGAGGAAGCGCACCACTCTCAGAAAATGGCTGCATGGACAGACTTCCCCTAGAACCAGACCCAGGTCCTTCTGCCAAATCTCTCCTCCAAATCTTACCGAAGCGCTGGGAGCCAGCAAAGAAAGCCCTGCTCAGGACAAAGGGACGTTCGATGCCCCTGGAGCGCAGCACCAGGCCATCCGCGGTCGCCATGTGCTGCATGGGAACAGGAAAGAGAGGCGGTAAGGAGCAAAGCCAGCTGCCATCAGTGCCCGTTCTCGGGCCCCGGGCTCTCCTCGCTCCCTTACCACGTAGAGGCCGTAGATGTTATGTACGTCTCGGTGCTCCCAGCCCCCATAGTGCTGGGCATCCTTGAGCATGGTGACCTCAGGACCGTTGAACACAGACGGTTCGTTCATGTCATTCCAGACATAGAGGTTGGGAGCTGAGCCCTGAGAACACAAGGCGGAAAATGGGAACAGAGGACAGAGTGGAGGAAGACAAGGAACAGTGTGAGAGCAGAGAGCTCCTGGGAGTCCAGCAAGATGCACCTCTCAGGGTCCTGCCAGGATCATCAAGGCCCCTGATATCTTACAAGCAACCAACCAAAGCAGGGTTGGCAGGCAGAGACTGACTCCAAGAGGTAGTGTGGGAAAGACAGGCTGCCGTACCTCGTAATTGTCAAAGTGAAACATGTTAGCCCACCAGGCCCTCATCTTGGGATTGGTGAAATCAGGGTAACCAGCTGCGCCTAGAAGTCAAGGATGGCTTTCAACCCAAGAAGGGCAAACCGGCCTCCACGATAGCTCCCTGGTCTCCCAATCATACCCCCTCATTTCTGGGCCCACCTACCTGGCCAGCACCAGCCTTCGTAGTCAGAGCCATCCCGGGTTTTAACGTATAGACCCAGGTTCTGCAACTCTTCGTGTACGCGGTAACCAGAGTCCACCTTGATGTGGGGGTCCACAATGGCCACCAGCTGTGGGCAAGGACCATGGGTGGTCAGAGCTCTCCAAGGATATCGTGCCTGAGAAAACCAACCACGGCTACAGCCCTCTTACCTTCCGCCTTTTGGAGGCCAAATGCTCAAGCATATTGCGGGGCTGAGGGAAACGGCTGGGGTCCCAAGTGAAATACCGCTTGCCGTCGGCATGCTCAATGTCCAGCCAGATGACATCGCAAGGCAGGTTGTGATCATCGAAGCCCTGATCCACTTCCAGAACGTCAGCCTCATCCCGATAGTTCCAGCGGCTCTGGTGGTAGCCGAGGGAGAAGAGCGGGGGCAATGCCTGGGTCCCTGCAGGTTCGGGGTGGGGGGGATGGGGTCACAGCGGGGTCAGGCTCAATCTGGAGCCAATGGGGATGCCTGGAAATTCAGGGAGATACAAGGGGATCGGGCCAGAGAACAGGCCGAGGCACAGGATTGCTGAAAATGCACAGTCACCCTTCTCAGGGAGACAAGGATCAGGAAAGCAGGCTGCAGGCCGATGGAATAGGGAGGCCACATACCGGTGAGACTAGCGTACTGCCGGAAGACATCAAAGACAGAGGGCCCGAGCATCAGGAAGACATCGATGATGCCACTCTCAGACATCCAGCGAACATCCGTCTGTGGAGTCTCCCCAGAGCCCTGCAGGTAGTCCAGCATCTTCCCAAACAGGGTCTGCAGGGAGGACCAGAGAGAGGTCTGACCCCACCCTCCTGCTTCCCAAGCCAGTGTTCTCCTGAGTGCTCTCACAGGGGGCTCCTTGAGCCACTTCAGGCTGGAGTTAAACATCACCTCCTCAGTGAGGCTTCCCTCGGCCCCCTCACAAGCAGCCCTGTCCATCCTCCCCCCACCCCCCACAACCGCTTATTTCTTTTGCAGCACTCACCACCACTGAGCTCATCTAGACTTCTGTTACCTGTTTAACCTCTGTCGTCTTCCTTTCCTAACTCAACATACAGTGTATTCCCCACATGGATAAAACTGTCTAGCTCTTGATGCAAACTCAATAATAAACATATTGATGATAAATGCAGGAAGGTAAACACCTTCCCCATGGGTGTGTGTCTTCTGGGAGTGACTGGGGAACTCTTATGCTGCTCACGAGGCCAAGGCCCGTCTCTCACCCAATCCCAACAGGTATCCAGACAGGCCACCCACCAACCTCTTTGAAGCAAATGGCCCAGCACGTGCGTCTGACTCAAGGCCCGCTGATCCCTCCCCATGCCTGTGCTCTCACCTTCCCGGCAGTGTTGGAGGATATGTCAACCCAGGTCTCTGCAGCGTTGAGCCAGAAGATGCCTAGGTCCCGAAGGGGGCTGTGTGCCAGGAGCACGGGGACAGACCCATACAGGGCCATGCGGTTGTAGAGCTCATACTGGAACACGTCCAAATTGTAGAGGCGATACGGCTCCCCACCCCTGCAGGCAGGCAGACCAACCCTTGACCGGGCGCACACAGCCCCCAGCCCGTAGACAAAGATGAAGCATAAACACTGGCCCCTCTGCCCTTTCTCCAAGCAGAAAGTCTGACCGCCAAAGGCGCCCTGGGCACGAGAAGTGATCCAGGCTCATCCGGAGCACCCAATCTGCATGCACAGTCCCCACAGCCCTGACTTCTGACCCGTTCCCTCCCATCCTGATGTCACTGCGGGACTCACTCAGTGACTTTCAGCCTGAGGTTGTCTGCATGCTCGGGGATCCCATACACATGCTCCATGCCTGGCAGAGAGAAGTCCAAACTCACAGACATGGGGCCTGGAAGAGAAGCAAAAGGTAAGCTCCGGAGCTGTCACCTGACAAGGACCCCTACGCCCCTGCCCAAGGCTCTCCCAGCGCCTACCGTAAGGCTTGCTGTCAGAGTGAGTTTTGAACGTCTCTTCCCAGGCTCCTGGCTCATCATGCTCTGGCTTCCCCTGGGTCTCGTCTGGCTGGAAGGAGGAAAGTGGACCACTGCCCAATCACACACCAGTTCTTTTTCCTTGCCTGTTTTCTAAATCCCATCCCTAATGGCAAGACTAAGCTCAGATTTCTCGGGGGCCTTTCCCCTCCGACCTCCCAGCCAGCCCTGTGCTCCAACTGGCCACCCTCACCGACTTGCCTTGTCGTCATCCCCAGGCGTTTCCTCAGGCTGGGCCCCATCGCCCTCAGCTGGCTCTTTTGATCCTTGCCTGGAAGGTAGGAGAGCTGTCTGCTCCAATCCAGAGGGGGCGGGGACGAGGGGCTAGTGGAAGGAGGGGTGAGGGAATAGAGAGCCAAGGGTCCAAAGGAACGAAGGCATTGGAGGAAGGGACTGAATGTTAAAGCTTCAAGAGGGACCCCCAGTGAGCAGATAAGTGTGCAGAGGATGGGGAGAGACATGAGAAAGGGAAATGAGAAGTAAATGCCACCTGGAGGCGCCTTCCAAACACAGGCCCAACAACCAGCCTCTGCCAGCGTTCCAGAAGAGACAGGCAGGCAGGTCAAGGGCATGGGTTTGGAACGCCAGTCCTGGCCCTGCTGCCTCTACCAAGAGACTCTGGCCCCACCTTCCCTCACTGGGCCTCAGCCTCTTGGCCTGACACAGGGTTTTGCAAAGCAAGTGAGTCATAACCACGGTCAAGCCTCTACACACAGTCAGGCTTATATGCAGGGACTTAAACAAGAGATTCTGCCAAAGAATGCTTTCAAGGGCAGCTGGAAAGCAGCTCTGCCCAGGGCCTCAGTGCATGCCAGCTGAGAGCCAGGAACCCCAGCAACAGGCAGCATCTCTCCACCCCCTGGCAAAGCAAAAAGCTCCCTACACGCCTCAAGGACGTTCAACATTTCATCTTCCTTCTCCCAGGGGGCTCCCAGCCAGGGGAATGGGGGACAGGAACCAGAGACCATACAGCTGGGGTAAGTGGGCGAATGAAGGGCAGGCCATGGAAAGGTCTGGGCACCTTCCTTGGGGGCCAGAGTGAGGGGCAGGTAAGGGCAGAGGAACAGATACAGTACCAGCGGTCATGATTTACCTAGAGAAAACGTTCTTGATCCTATCCCAAATGCTACCGAGCGTGAGACTAACTTTATCCGAGAAACTGGGGCAGGAGGAGATGGGTAGGGAAGGGGGAAGGGGGTACAAAACCAACACAGAAACAGAAACATAAACGTGAGTTTCAGTCGACAAACTTCCAGAGGTGGGGCAGGGGAGGAAATTAAAACCAAAAACCAAAAACCAAAAACCAAAACCAAAACAAAAACAAGGAAGAAAATAAATCTGGGAAATGTGATGGTGTGAGAGGGGGAGAGGGAAAGGCAGATCTAGGCAGGCCTCCCTGAGGAGGTGCCCGGGGTACAGACGACGGGCCAAAGTGACTGCCTCCTGGTCTGTACAGGACCCAGGCCTGCTTCCTACCCTCCCTGCTGGCCAGTTTCTCCCAGGCCCCAGCCCCCACCTGCCTGCTGCCACCCTGTCTCCTCCCAGGGACCCGGTGCCAGACCCTACGACACCTCTAGGTTCTTTCACACTAGGTCTCCTTCAGTGCTTGACCCCGTACTCACGAGACCCTGGGGGTCCTCTGGTGCTCTACATTTAAGAGTCCTCGGGCGTTGACACTGAGCAGAAGGCTGCGGTCCTCCAGTAGGTCAAGGCGGAACGGCCGTGCCGTCAAGATGATTTTATAGGGTCCCTCAGCGATGGTGAGCTCCACGCTGTTGTCATCCCGGCCAGAGATAGACAGCCTAGGAAAGAGATCAAAAAGGATATAAGGACGTGCAGAGTGCCAAGAGTAGTCAGGAGACTTAGAAGAGGGACAAGCGCTAAGAGCCTTACAAGAAGTGTGGTAACGGAACAGGGGCAGACAGGTTTTGACCAAAGGAACCAAATAAAGAGCCTGGAAACAGACCCAGGCTCACTCAGAGCTTTGAAATGTAACAGGCACCGTGGCAGTTCAGTGAGGTCAGGAGGAAAAATATGAACAATAATAGGAAAAACACATTTTCTGTAGAGGAAACAAATGGTATCACAACCCTATCTCATTTCAGATACAACAACTCCAGACAGATTATGACTTAAAATGTTCAAGTAAAACCTTTAGAGGAAAATATAAAGAAACATTTTTCTGACTCTGAGATAGAGAAAGATTATTTAAACACAACTTAGAAACTGTGAACACCAGACTGATATACCTGACAACATAAACTTCAGAATTTTGGTTTATTGACAGATACCTTAAGGGCAGTCAAAAACAAGAAAAAAGTCTGAGAAACTGTCCCAATCTAGAGGAGTCTAAGCAGACTTAACTAAAGATAAAACAGAATCCTAAATGGGACTGTCGGGAACAATAAAGTATGGACTTTAAGCTACAAGAATATATTGTGCAACTCAGAACATAATCAATATTTTATACTAACTATAAATGGAATAAGACCTTTAAAAACTGTGAGTCACTATATCATACACCTGTAACTTACATAATATTGTACATCAACTACACTTCAACTAAAAAAATGAAAAAAATCAAAATTAAAAAAAAATTTGTAAAAGACCTTTAGTTAACAATAATGATCTATTCATTAGGCATGACAAATATACAACAATGATGCTGAACAACAGGGGAAAATAGGAATTCAAGGTATAGAGGAACTCTCATAATATTCTTGAAACTTTCCTATAAATCTGAAATTATTCTATAATTTTTGAAAAGTGAAAAGATAAGCTACAACCCAGGAAAATACAGCTGTAAAACATGTACTTAATAAAGAACTGGTATCAAGACTAATGAATTTCTACAAATCAGCAAAGACAAACAACATGAAAGGAAAATGAGCAGAGCCGTGAACTTCCAGTTCACAGAAGAGTAAACCAGAATGACAGATAAAGATGAGGACGTGCTCAATACATCATTAATAAACTGCAAAGACAAGCAAGCCAAGACCATCACATGGCATCATCCTACAGCCTTTCCACTGACAAAAATTAAGTCCAATAGTACCAAGGGTTGGAAAAGATGCAGTTCAGTAAGTCTCATATATTGCTGGTGGAAGTGTAAATTGGCAAGCCACTTTGGCTTTATCTTAGAAAGTTCATTATTTCCATATTCTACACTCTGTAGTTCTTCTCTTAGCTATACATCACAGAGAAACTCCTGCACAGGGAGACAGGAGACATGGACAAGAATGTTCAAGCCAACACGGTGAAGAGTAAAACACTGGAAAGAACCCAAATGCACATTAACACAGAAATGGAGACGTTAAGTTGGGATATATTCATATAACACAATATTATACAGCGGTAAAAATGAATTTCTAAAGCTACACGCAACAGAGTTATATACGTAAGTGAAAAAAAGTAAATCTCAAAAGGTCTCATTCACTAAAATACTTTCCCTACGAAGCTCAAGACAAACAAAAGCTCAGAAACCAACAAAATCACATAATCGCTTAGGCACATGCACATATGTATGTGTGTGTACCTGTGTGTACACATACACTCACAACATGACTGTGAGAACAAAGAAACAAGGGAGCAATGAACATCTGAGTAACAATCACCTCTGAAGGAGTCAGGGGTACAGGGTACGGGGCAGTGAGATTTATGTGTCTGGGTTGGGTGAAGGGTTTATCATGTTATTTTCTGAGTTAAACACTTAACAGAGAGCCATGCAAGGAACAATGTGAGTGTGTCATGGCCCAAGTACTTGAATAATCCCATCCTGAATACCTGGGGAGAAAGAGAGGAGAGAGGAAGGGAGGGAGGAAAGAAAGAAAAAAAGACAACAGAAAAGAACAAACAGACAAGACAGTGGGACAGGACAGGAAGGGAAGGGAGGAACCAATTACAGAGACACTGTATTCCTAGAAGGCAAGTTCCATGGCCTTGCTGATTTCCTCTTATATTGAGAAAGCTGTATTTGTCTGCTGAATGCACAAAGATAAAGGGTGAAAGAGAAACCAAGCAAGCGAGTCCCCTGGCGGTCCAGTCGTTAAGACTCTGCTTTCACTGCTGAGGGTGCAGATTCAATCACTGGTGGGGGGACGAAGATCCCATGAGCCATGTGGCTCAGCCAGTCAATCAACAGAGAAAACAACTGAAACAAAAGAGGAGATGAAGGAAGGTTGAGGAGAGCAACAAGGTGCTATTCATCTATTACCCCAACGTGGAAAAGAAAGTCATCCGCCAGATAAAGGTTCCTTAGGAAGGAGGAAAGGGCCATGGAGGTGGCTATCTTTCTCAGGGGAAATTTACCCAGCTGTGGGGGGATCGGCCACCAGCACATCTGGCACACGGTATCGGGGCCGCCGGGGCTCGAGTTCATCGATCCTGATGCGAGTCATGTTCTTTTGAAGTCCTTGGAGCTCCAGCACCAACACCACCTGTGGGGGCAGAAGTCAGGGAGTGGAGAAAGGAAAGAGCTACACCAAGGAATGCCCTCTGAACCCACTTCGCTCCTGAGGGGATCTCCTCCTTCTGGCCCTTTGCCTAAGGTATCTGAGACCTGAATTCCTCACAAAGTAAAAGTCCCAAGGTTAGATGGCATGGGATGTGGGCCATAGGTTTCCCCTTCCCCAATTACCCCCTGGCCATTTCTCCACCCCCATTTGACTCTTCCTTTTCTCCCCTGACCTTGGTGACTTCGTTGATCAGATGGACTGTCAGGGCATCAGGACCAAGCTGCAGAGAGTCCAGTAAGGCTCGGTAGGGAGAATGGCCTGGCCGTATGCTTCGCTGCCTCCTGTCAAGTCAAACAATTGAGAAGGGGGTAGGGCTCCCTGAGGCCCCTAAGTCCTTCCATCAGCTGCAGTGACCCACGCTACCTCACCTGCCAGATACCTCCCACATCACCCTACTTTCCATTCCAGTCTCCCAAAAATAGCATACTTGCAGAAGGAACTCTCGTCACAGGTCTTGAAGTTGCTTCTATCCACAGCGAAGGTAATTCCCAGACAGACCCCTAAACAGGCCAGTACCAAAGCGGTCCAAGACCTAGAAGGAAAAGGATGACGAGGAAATAATCAGAGCAGGGTCAGAAAGGGCCCCACTTCAGAAGTGAGGGCCTCTTCCCACCTCAACCCTAAAAGGGGAGCAAGCTAAGACTCCCACTAAACAGCAAAAGAAGGCAAACTGGACCCAGGGTTAAGTGTTAAGGCCTGAGAAGTTGGCTCACTCACACCTTCCCTTCAAAAGGCAGAGGAAGTGGACAAAGGATCCTTGGCCTTCAGAGGCCAGGTATTGACTCAGGTTACATCAGCCTCTCGAAGGAAAGTCACAGTAACAGCCAGTCCCAGGGGAGGTGGTGGGATCACATGTGTGGAACACAGAAACAAAGCTAAGCCATGCCTGTCCACTGAGGGGAGTGGCAGAGAAAAAGTTAAAGATGTACCCTCGGCTAGCCTGCTGGTCACACTTCCTGGGGTCCTAACACCCCTAATGCTCTAATCATCCTGCTCCTTGGACCTCCACTCCTGTAACTTTGACACACGTTACCACTATCACCACCTGAGCTTGAATAACAAGAGCTAACCTGTACTGAGCTTCCCTTGTAGTTCAGCTGGTAAAGAATCCGGCTGCAATGTGGGAGACCTGTGTTCGACCCCTGGATTGGGAAGACCCCCTGGAGAAGGGAAAGGCTACCCACTCCAGTATTCTGGCCTGGAGAATTCCATGGACTGTGTAGTCCATGGGGTCACAAGGAGTCAGACACGACTGAGCGACCTTCACTTTCAACTTGTCCGGAGTACTAATATACATCTAGGAGCCTGGCTAACTGCATTATATAGTTTTTAACTCTATCTGTAGTTCTCAGTAGTGTCAATGCCCAGGTCTCACCCCGAAGTTCTGATCTAACTGGCCTGAAGTAGGACCTGGGCATCAGATTTGAAACTCCCCTAAATAATTCTAAGGCTTCTGGGGCAGCTAAGTGGTAAAGAATCCGCCTGCAGAATATGTGGGTTCAATCCCTGGGTGGGGAAGATCCCCTGGAGAAGGAAATGGCAACCCACTCCTGTAGTCTTGCCTGGGAAATCCCATGGACAGAGGAGCCTGGCAGGCTACAGTCCATGGGGTCGAAAAAGAGTTGGACACGACATAGCGACTAAACAATAACAAAACAGCTCTAGTGGGCAACCAGTGTTCAGAACCAACTTTTTATGCACTAACTCTTTTCCCTTTGTTTTCTTGGTGAATGTAGGATTGGAGTTTATCTCAGATGGGTACACTGAGACATAAAAGATTCAATAATTCATCCAAGACTGAACAGACAGTATGAGGTGACAGCAGGACTGAACTCTTGTGTGACTCTGGGGCTCAGGTACTTCATGATATACAGCACAGTGCACCAGCCACCAGCAGGCCCTGCCTCACTGAGGACCATCACCCTAAGGTTACTACACACCTGCCACTTCCCCAACATGCTATCAAATGACAGACAAGGGACTAACAGGTTTATTGAAGCAAGTTACTTTGTTAAGGATATATTCACCCATTCTGAGTACATCCTAAACAGGCATTCTCCAACTTTAGTGTCTGTTAAGAATTATGCGCAGTGACTGTTAAAGGAAAATTCTCAGGTCCCAGGGAATCTGCATTCTTCCCAGTGACTGATCTAGCAGCACACTTTGAGAAAGCATTCCATATAGGAGAGGGAAAAACAAAACAGCCTTCTCACCACTCAAACCCTGCTACTTGCTAATAGGGTAGCCAAAGAGTAGGGCCTACTAAACAGACGGTATCCACCATTGGCCTCGGTATCCGCTGGAAAGCTAAAGGTAAAGAAATTCACCAGGAAGGAGATTACTGAACAGAGTAAGCCCTCCAGTTCCAGAAGAAAAGACAAGGCATTACCAGGCCAGACAGAAAGGTGAGGAAAACACCAGGCTTTGTAGTTTAACAGGCCAAGCAGAGACAAGGAGCAGCAAAACAAGCAGAAGAAATGCTCCCAGAAAACTCAAAAGCAAGGCATGTGCCCCCCTACCCCCAGCAGGAGTGACTGCAGCAGACACCCTGAGCCACTGACCCCATGTCTACCGGCCCAAAGCAGGAGTAATCAGAAGTACCCTGAGTTAAATACTCTCTGGAGTCTTATTTGCAACATCCATAAAATGGGTTTGGAGAGAGGCCAATGTGGATAAGATTTCTGAAAGATTTTTCAGATGTAACCTGTTGGAAGGCCCTAAGAACTCCGGAAGGCCTCGAACGCCCCTGAGCAAGAGGTGGTCACAAGCCAAGGTTAGGAATGACTCGCAGGGAAAGGTGCACCCGTTTATTGTTTCAGATCACAGGTTTCCAGAATAGAATTTACGATCCATGCTTTTCCACTGCTGCCAACAGTACACGCCTCTCCCCACCCTAATACATCCGTTAGATCCTGATAAATACTTTGTGGCGCTGAATGGCTGTTTCAAGCCGTTCTTTCAGTAATATTAACTAGAGAACGCAGACCAAAACCATTGTTGTGTTTGAGTAACATCATCCAGGTTGATTGTGAACTTAAGAGATCCTGCCCCAGCCGTGCCCAACGACCGTGAACACCGAACAAGCCAGGGATGGTGTCCACGTGAAGACCAGGGCAGGGCAGGGTCCGGGCCTCTCGAGAGAAGGGCAAGGGCAGTGGAAAGCAAGACTGCCGGCTACGGTGCTTCCAGCCCGGCTGGGGGCCGCAGGGCAGCAGGCTGCATTCCCGGAGGCTGGGCCGCGTCTCGTCCCCCGCCCCGGTGGCCCCGCGCATTGCAGGAAAGAGGCGGCAGCTTTAACCGCCTTAATCCGTCAGGGAGGGCGGCGGCTGAGAGCGGCCCAGACCAAGAAGAACGCACGGCTGCGGCCTTCTAAAGCCACCGGTCCGGAGCCCCAGAAACAAGGGCCCCCCCAACGCCGCGCGGATCTAATGCGAGGAGGCTGGGGAAACCTGAGGCCGGCTCCAGAGAAACAGTCCTCACGAGGCCGGGAGTGGCGGAGTCTCAGGAGAACATACAAGAAGAATAGATACGGGATTTAGGGGCCTGGGGGCGTCCCGTGCGCGCCCCCGGGATCCGAGCTCCTCACCGCCTCCTACGCGCCTCCACTGCCGCCACCGCCGCCATCTTGTGCCGGGTTTGCTCCTTGACCCGGAGCTTCCCCTCCCCCAGCGCGCGTTGAGCCACGTATCTTAGTGCCCGCCCCTTCCGGCCTCCTGATTGGCCCGACCACACAGAGGCCGGGCGTTTGTCCCATTGGCGGAGGGCTTACGCTAAATGCTCATGGGGGCGGTGCCAGGAGGGGCTTGAGGGAGGGGGCGGGATTGTTGAGCCAGGCGCTGTCCGACTTGGCTGGCCCTAAACATCAGATAGAAGCACTGAACCCTGTTTTTCTCAACTCGGCAAATTTTATTTAGAAAAAAGGGTGGGGAGGAAGAAAGTGACAGCGCTCTTTTAAGCCAAGGTCTTAGGAGAGAAACCTCCCACCTTTCTGCAGCACCTTGGCCCCCTCTCTCATGGCTCAACCTCCCTTGGCTTCTGGAGAATGGAAAGGCTATGTGCCCTGCCGGAGAGTGGACGGTAAAGGTGCCTGGAAACGGCCAGAGAAGAGACCCAGGCGGTCAATGTTGCGGTGGAGGACACTGTGGAGCACAGCCAGATGGGGTCCACCTTCACCCCCACCCTCCCTAGAGAAGTCCCGGATGAAGCGGCCACGCTCCGACTGGAAGATGAACTTCTGGGGCAAGGGCCCATGCTCCCGGAGAAAGCCCCAGACACTGAGCAGCAACAGACGCACTTCAAAAGGTGCCAGTTGACTAAATACCTCGTGCATATTCCCCAGGGCTGGTGGCAGGAGGCTTCCCTCAGCCATGACAGCCACCAGGGTGCAGGATGCCTCCAGGTGCCAGGGGGAGTGGGCTGTGTCAGGGTGGCGAGAGGCTTCCCAGTGGCCCAAGAGGGCAGCCAGCAGCCCCCGCAGCAGCACAGAGCAGTAGCACAAGGCTGGGGGAGCAGCTGCTACCAACTTTAGCAGCTCAAAAAGCAGAGGCTGTTCCCGGAAGCGCCGGCCAATGCGGAGATCCCGCTCCACAGTGGCCCGGGCATGCTCCTCAGGAGGCCAGGCTAGCTCTGCACCAGCTGCATCGGGACACACACTCTCCACTAAGGTCACTGCCACTGCTTTGGCTGCCTCTGGGCTCAGGGTGGAAGCCCCCCAGCAGCCTGCACATTCAGTACCCCCAGGGGCATTGCAGCAGTGCACCAGGAGGCTGAGGAGGCTCTGGGTGTTATAGATCACTTCTTGCTGATTGCGTGACTGGACAAACTTGGGTGGTTTAAGGCCACGACCGATGACTCCAGCGTGGAACACAGACCAAATCCCTCCAGGACCTGGTACAGCTGCAGTGTGCCGCCGGTTTGTGTCCAACAGGGAGGCAGAAGCCAAAGGAGCTGTCACAATGGAGAGCGTCTCATTGTCCCCATCCACTTCCCCTCCAAACAGTTCTGTGTTGCCACGATGTAAGGCTCCCTCAACTAGCAGCTGCAGCACAGCTTTGAGCCCCGCCGGGCAGGTCTGGGAGAGGCGCATAAGAAGCTGGGAGGCAGAAGCCACCCCTGGGGGGCCGTGCAGCCTCAGAGAAGCAAAGAAGCGATGTACTCCAGCTCTCACAAGTCCCAGGAGTTGGGAAGGGGACAGGGCTTCTGGGGGAAAGGGACAAATGGCCAGAAGGGAGGCAGCAGCTTCCGCTACCTCCTCCTCAGGATGGAGCAAGAGAGGAGCCAGGTCAGACAGATGCGCTGAGGCAGACTCCCCGAACCGGGCCCCTAGGGCCGCAGGGCCCTCACCACCCTGCTTCTCCCACCCCACAAGTAGCGCTAAGTTGCGCAGGAACCGGGCCGTGAAGGGAGATTGCAAAGTTCCTGCATGTACCCTAGCCAGGCAGCTTCGGAAGGCCAGGGGCAGGAGGCCAGAGAGACTGACCACCAGCCCAGCATATAACTGAGTGGCCAGACTCAACTCTTCAGGGCTTCGGGCCCGGCTCAGGAGATGGCCCAAGGCCTCAGGTCCACAGCTAGGCCGGGTATAGACGGAGAGCAGGCCAAGAAGCTGGTGTTGCCAGAGGAAGCGTTTGCGTTCCAAACGTAATGTCTCTCCACACAACTCTCCAACGTGGTTTCTGAGCGCATCTAGAAAGGGCACAGGGCGGGGGGGTGGGGGTGAGCTCAACAACCCTTCCCCTAGAGATGGTCCCCAGTGATGAACCAGTTTTTGCAGGTGCAGCAGCAGCAGCTGGATCAGCCGGTCACACGCCTCGCGCACAGTGTCTGGCACAGCCAGGCCCTGGGTGGTAATGACAGAGGCAGGCATGGCTGTGTCCACCAGGAACTGCAACAGGCGGTAGGCACCTGCCCCAGAGGCCTGGCTCACCAGGTGCACGGCCAGGTTCAGCATGTTGTCCAACTCCTCTCGGGGAAATCCCTGCAGGTGTTGCTGCAGCTGACTCAGCACTGCTGGGGGTTTAAGGCAGTCTACCAGTTCTCCAGAGACTGTGCCCAGCAAAGCTGGTGACATGACTGCTAGCTGCAGGAGGAAGGGAACTGTGGCCTGAAGGGAGGGGTCCCCACTCCGGCCACCAGTGCCCGCCGCCAGACTATCGTGGAACATTCGCAGGAGCTCCCGTCGGATGCTGTCTCCATGCCTGGAGGCCAGGTGCCCTAGGATGCCTACAACTGAGGCAATCTTGGGCACCCGTTTCTCCCCAGGGATGGCAGGAGATCCAGGGAAGGGGTCTGCAGAGGGAGTTTGAGAGGAGCCTCCACCACTGCCACCAGCTCCACCTCCAGCCCCACCATGAACACAGAAGTCCTTAAGGCCACATGAGAGAACTCGGGAGATGATGGTGCCGGGAAAAGAGGAGCCGATATGTGCCACAACCCAGTCGAAGTGTGGGGAATGCTGGACGGAGGTATCCAGCAAGGCATCCACACAGGCATCTGGGCAACTGCCAATGAGAGCTGAGAGGCACTGAACATAGATGTCCATCAATGTGCGGGTGGCCCGACAGCCCATCCACAGCTGCAGCAATTCATTGAGAGACCCAGTGGCATGGGGCACACGCTGGTGCTGGCCCGAGTAAGTGCTGCTCAGCTGCCCCATGAGGTCAATGGACCAGGCACTAATCACAGGTGCCCAGGCCTTCGGGTTGGCCCGGATAAACTCAGACAGCACCTGCTGCACTTCCTGCACCACATCCTCTAGACCAGGACCCCCAGCAGGGACATGGGAAGGTGGGGGTGGACGGAGGTGAGGTGGGCCAGCCACGGGGCTTTCATCCAGGGCAGCCAGGTGGGCCCGGACACTCTCATCAAAGACACCTCGCAAGTGGTCCAGCACAGCAGCCCGAGCAGGTGGCAAAGAGCGGAGCAGGAGAAGGCCACAGCGGGCGTGCTCCCGGGCAGAGAGCTGGTGGCCCAGAACAGGATCTACACCAGTCAGAAAAGCCTTGATTTCCTGGGACAGCTCCTGAGCACTGTAATGAAGCAAAAGAAGCAGAGTGAGAGTGTTGGAAGGTGTAGGACAAGTTACATGCCCTTTGTGAGCTTCAGTACTTTTCTATGTAAAACAGGAATAACTGAACCTCCCTCATTAGATAATGTTCACAAAGTACGGAAGCAGCATGTCTAGTTCACACTAATTAATAAACGCAAGCTGTTTTTCTTTTAATAACAACAGAATCAGTATTAGATAACTCCTGGAATACATCAAGTTCTCTTTTAAGTATGTGTATTATTTCAATACAGATAGCAACCCAGTAAGGTAGGTACTATTATGATCCCATTTTACAGAGAAGGAAACCAAGGTTAAATAATCAGACTCTCAACTCCAAGAGGGTAGTTAACAGTTCTGTGTTCTTCAACACTGAATCCCCTTCTACTGGAGCCCCTGGAACATGGGAAATATTATTCATTGAATTGAGTAAGTATATTTTGTGTTTCTATAACATCTGCCTTAAACACACCTTTTCAGCTTTACAGAACTCCCCCCTCCATACAACTCAAGTACCCTGGATTTTGCCCTTAATGGAAAGAAAATTCTAAGCCCAAATTTTCCCCTTATTAAGGGCTCTTCCTCCCCAAACTTGTTTCTTTCCATATTCAGCAAGCACCCTAACCACCCACCACTTGGACTCCACCACATCAACAACCACTACTGTCCCAGTACCCTCAATATGCCCCAGGAACCAAGGTGCCCAGGGCAGAGACAAGGTAATGCCTTTCAGCCCTTCCCACCCTAAAACATACAGGTTCGGTCTTAGAGGTTCAGAAGGCAGTATCATGGGAAGAGACAAAATTCCCTTCCTCTTTGTGAGTTTTCTGCCAAAGACATCATCCTCTAGAGACTGGTAAGGCTCTGACTCTGCCATTCCTCTCTGGTTCCTCCAAAACAAAAAATAAAACCACTCAACGGTGAGGGGAGTGTCTCCGTTGGAGGGCGAGGGAAAGGCTAGATGAAAGCATTCTGTGGGATTCTGGGGGCCTGGGTGCTCAGGGAGTGCCCATGAAGTCAGGGGACCCTGGGTTCGCTCGGGTCTAAAAAGGACAGGGCACCCGGGTTCCCAAGAATTGATATTCCCCCCAAAAAAACAAAACTGATAGTCCCAACTCTTGGAAGAGCAAGGCCAGGATCGGGGGTAACTATACACTGGGCTTTAGCGGGAGGCAGTACCGAGACCTTGGGAGTGCTGGCACTGGAGCCCAGAGTGTTGGTGAGGCAGTCCCTGAGTTCGGGGAAGACAGGACCAGGAATCTCTGAGAACCCCGACGCGAGTTCTCGAGGTAGGATCCGGGTTTCTGCCGAGAAGGCTGGGGATCGGCGCGGGACCGCGCGGGAGGGAAAGATGCCAGGGGCTCTGACTACCTGAGCGGCGCGGGACCGTGAGTGACCGGGGCAGGCCCGGGAGGCCCTGGGGCCCCGGGAGGGTCGCACAACGCAGACATCCCGGAGCCCTAGACCGAGCCTGAGGCGGGAGCGGCGGAGCGCAGGGAGCGCATGCGCGCTGTCTGGAAACCCGAAAGGAACCAGCGAAAAGGCTTCTCAAGAAAACCAATCCGGCGCTGTTCGTGAC